TGTTGGGGATGATGGATTGCTAGGCCGTCAGCGCCGTGGTCCCCGCGCATGCGGCATCAATCACGCCCACGCCGGACGGGATCGGCACGCAGCCTGCACGCGGCGCGACGGTGTACTCGGCCAGAGTCCCAAACTTCGTGGGGCCGTCGAGGCGCCCAAAGACCAGCTGCCCTGGCTTCAGGTCCGTCGAGGAGACTTTCTTGCTGTTGGGGCCTGTGGCGACGACGCGACCTGCGAAGTCGATGCTGGGCGTGGCGGGGGAGTTTGTAATCGACGGGGTTGAGAGCTGCGACGAGGACTTGCACAAGGATCTGGTCGGCTGCGAGGGAGGTCGAGTGTGTAGGGAGAGGAGCGCTGGTGTTGAGCTTCAGATTCTTCTCAATCGTGGGGGAGGTGCTGGTGAACTGCCAGGCTTTCATTGTACGGGGGAGCTCAGAGGCCATTGTACCTATATGGTGCTTGGTCAGTAATGTTAATATTGATGGTGATGGTAGTGAAATGGGGATGTTTCTTGATGAGGAGACATCTACCTTTTCAAGTATCAGGGGCGGAAGGAAGCCTTTCGTTGTAATTAGGGAAGGGAGAAGCACCGTGCTGTTGAGAAACCTATGGAAAATACGCCGTAGGTGGGATTTGATGTTTAAGTCAGCGGTCAACGGGGCTAGTTCCATGGTTACTATACTTACGTAGTAGACTTTCGGCCCCAGTTCCAAGCTCGACTGCTGACTGTGCAGATACCCGAGCGCGGAACGCACAAGCTGAAACGCTACTAGTGACCCGAAAGGGACGTGCACCTTTTGGTTGAACCAGCAGCACGTCTCCTTCAACTTGCGCCCGACAAGAACGGGCCGTTTATGAACGGTATCTTCCTCTGTTTCCTCCGTAATCCCGTACGTGAAGTCTGGTCCATAGGCCATGATGCTGGTTGAAGTAACAGGTGTGCAGAACTCGAGACTTAACCCGAGTAGGTAGGTGTATAGAGCCAACCTTGAAAACCTGAGCGCGTATCGCTAGGGCTGAACACTTGAATGTTCGTAGAGTCCGTGATATGTTCTCCCATTCCACCCAGCCCTGACCAACCGGGTCACCCCCCACCAAACTGCATAGGGCCTTGCACACCCTACCCCGTCATTTACCAGTTGTCTCCCTTTCGCTAACGTGATCCTGCGTTTTCTCATCTATCCTTGATGGAGCTCTAACCCCCCACCCGCTTCCAGGTATCGATTCTCTGAAAACGTTCCATCGCAACATCCGTGATCGGATTTAAGTTTTAGGCTATCGAGGAGGAGCATGAAACATGGCAAATGCAGTACCCCATACGTGACGGCCTCCAACCTACCATCAAATGCCAAATAGAACACGGCCACCCACTTCCTGGTGCTGCGCACGACCTGCCTCCTCGAGAAGAGCAGGGCTTTCCCCGATTCTTCTAATGCCTCAACTGGACTAAAGTCTGACTCTGAGGCCGTCTTGGCTATCGAGCTCGATAGCAATGTGGCCGACGAGGAAGCGCCGCCTGGGAGATGAGGCTGAACAGGTGCGGAGATCACTGGAATCAGATGGGTCCTGGTTGTCGTTTTCATTCTTTCCTCGACATTTCTTTATGCTCTGGACAATACAGTCCTTGCCAACGTTCAGCCCAGAATAGTGGACCGTTTTGGACAGATTCAGAAGCTGCCATAACTACCAATTGCTTTTCTTGAAGCGTATGTCGCAACTAGCTTGATATGGTACATTGATGGAGAATCAGGGTCTATTTGAATAAAATCGAGTCAGATAAACCAAATCAAATGCTTGGCAAATAACCTAAATCCGTACTTTTATCAAATTGATGGAAAATAAAACTCTTGGCGGACTCCCTTCGTGAAATGAAAATCCTTGACAGTCCTTTTGATAGAACATTGCTTCTTGACATTTGACTCCACCTGACAATTGACTCAAATCAAATCAAATCAAATCAAATCATACTACTACTATCAAATCGACCTCTGGGATTTAAATAAGCAAATCAAACGGGGTCATGACTTGGTATATTTGACTTGATGTATACACTGAGTTCCCTTGTCCATCGGCTTCATCTGGCGCGACCGTCGCCCTTGCTATTGCAAATTCCGTTTTCTTGAACCAGGCCACTAACAAGCGGCATATTACTAGCCATCCTGCCACATTGAGCCTAGAAGTGTGGTGCAGGGCGCTGTAAGTCGTGCTGGCTCGACCTTCTTTCAAACACTCGACCCAAGCGTGAGAACTGCTGTGTTGGAGGCTGTCACTGATGCGATTAGCCAAATTTATATATTGACTATTGCTGGTGCAGCATTGAGCATTGTCTTAGCGGTCTTTCTTGCCGAGAGTGAAGATCAGCAATTTTCGATCTATCTTCCAATTTTTTTTCTCATGTTCGTGTTTTGGCGGGAAATCCGGCCAGAAGCACTAGAATAGGAGCGTGGGCGGTCTCTTCATGCCCTTTTCGTATAATCATCCAAAACAACTCGTTGTCAGCCCAATAACCTGTCCCCCCCTCATGACTGAACGGATCCGCACAGACTACAAGAGAAATGGAAGCGTTGCGCCTGCTAGAGAAGTTCGCGAGAGAGCAACGACAAAGGAACGAGAAGACGGCAAGAGCTCTAGGATTCGCCTCGTGGGAAGAACGCGCCCGCATTCAGGATGAAAGGTCTGCTCGGCTCAACGCACTTTACCACAAACAGCGGGGGGAGGAATGTGCTCGACTGGGTATAACGATGGAGGAGCTCGACCGGCGCGATCCGCAAAACTTTGTTCCTGACTCCTGGGAGCCCGATGTGGTTGTGACGGCTAGGACTTTATGTCTCCAGGATTTGACAATGTTTGATAACCTCTCAGATCACCCTATACCGTTCTTCGGCCCTAAGGCACTAATCGACTACCGATCCCAAGAATTGATGCCATTTCTACAAAACCGAAACCGAGTTACAATAGAAGAATTAAGGATTGAGCCGGGAGACAGCTCGAGACGACTTGATCAAGAAATGCTGGAGGATTTTTGGGCAGTCGAATTTCAGCAGACCTTAGCAGATCCTCCGATATGGGCTAAGGAGACACGGTATTACAGAAGATTTTGCATGCCAGTCGTTTGCACGCAAAAGAAGCACATTCCATGCTATCTCCGCCCCGCTCTGGGTCCTCCAGCCTGACCGCGCAAGCTACTGAAGATACCACCCTGAGTGGTCCCACACAAGTCTCCCCTCCACTTGCAGGATTCAACCGGGAATCCCTTCTTTACCCCTTACCATGGATGAAAAACCGATGACGGAGGGGACAAATTCAGCACAGTCCCCATCCATGAAGCGTCAACCAAGCAGAGGCATGAAATCATCAGTTCCCAGATATGGTGCGGAAAACCCACAGAAAATTCGAAAAACTCGTTTGCGAAAGAATGGCCGTGGGCCGGCTGCTCACATTCGGAAGGTTGCGCTCAATCCGGCCAGAGGAACTCGCTCCCATCGGGAAATCAGGTTATATGAGCTTGACCGGAACTGCATCGCCATTGACGTGACGAATGGCTGACATATGGTATCTTGCACGTGCTTGATCCGGTACATACTTATCCTACAATGAAACAAACTGTAGTCACGGCTGCAAGCGTCGCGTCTTCGATAGCCACTGGATGGAGAGCATGAGCAATTCAAATTTCACACTCACAATGCAGCCTCTCAAATGGCTCAACGCTCGAAGCGTAAGCCTTGCCTCTTTGGACCGGACCGCGAGAAAGCAGAGAATATACGGCTCGCAAACCATCTCCAGTTGCCGGGCGGACACGATCGTGCTGGCAAACGGCTTCGAGGCCACCCGCTTTTGGCACCCGCTGAGTGTGTATGGGCGCCATGTGCAAGCCATTCACGACTGCTGAGCCCAATGTGGTGATGCACAGGCGTACATGGGAACTGCTATGGACGGATTCCCCAAATTTCTTCATGACGGTCGGTCCAAACATCTTCGTTGGTCACTCCTTGGTGATACTGGGAAGCGAGAGCACAGTCGAATACATCTAAAGCCGATCTCCTCTGTACTTGACGGAGACGCTCTGACAGTAGAGTAAAAAAAGGAGCCGCGTTCAGATGGACGGCCGGCATTCCCTGATCCATGCCAAAGACGGTCTTCGCGGGCTACAAAAAGCTGATATAATGATGAAAGAGGTTGGAATTCGACCATGTACCCGTAAGTGATATACCTTTCAAATCGATATTTTTCAATGTCCAAACCTGTCCTGCTCCTGGGCGTCGCTCAGATCGTGTCCGCATCGCTCACCCTCAACCATTTACAGGCGCTCCCAGCTTGACTTCGCCCTCCGCTGCTATCTCCCTCGGTACAGTGACTGGGATATCGTCTACATGCCCAAGGGTCTGCTACGCAAAAGACTTAGCAGGCACTTGGCTACGCGTCCTTGGTAGCCGTACTGGCAGAATCCTGCTACATACGAATGTTGAAGTGGACTGACTTGATGGCGCTCGTAAGGAAAGTATTGCTGAGATCGCTAGCAGTGGTGGAAGAAGGCGTGGAGCGGCCAAAGACTCGAGTTCAAGGATGAGACGGACTGATGCCTGTGCTTGGAAATGAGCTCGGAGATGTACATGACGGGGCCTGATATCTGAACTGTCACCGAATCTTCAGTGAATTGTCCCTAGAACATGCTGAACAGGAGGTGAATCTGTCTGATGGCGCCCTTGCCATTCTGCAACTTACTGTGTGAATCAAAGCTGATATTCCTTGCTTGATTGCAAATCTAGGATTCACGGTTGCATGACAACCATCTTTGTCATACCACGATGTGGTGATTGAAGATGCCATCCTGCTCTCTGGGTATCATTCGAGTTGCACACTGCATGGCCCATCACGTAACAGACGCTCAACCTTGGTGACTCAGTGAACGTAGTCCATCTTGCCAACAACAAACGACCAAAACTCCTCCACCACCTCTCTCTGACCCTGTCCGTCTGGTGACGGCCTCACCGCAAGCACCATACGGTGATCTACCGGAATCTCCCACCTGCCCGGATTGGCATCCACGATCATGCCGCCGGCCTCCTTCAAGATCACCCAACCAGCACAGAAATCCCACGCCCAAGCCCCACCCTCCCAGTAGAGATCCAGTGAGCCAGACGCCACACCGCAGAGATTCAACGCCGCGCTACCGAAACTGCGCAAAGAATGGACCATGGCGCCTCCATGCTCCTTGGATCTGCCCAAATTCCCAAACGTCTGGACCTTGTTCTCGTAGTTTGGCCCTTCGCGATCACTTCCCCATTCGATCGCCACCAGCGTATCGCTCAAGCGTCCAAGCGGCTCCAGGGGTGTCTTGAGAGGTAACCTCTGCCTTTCCCCGCTTGTGGTGTTGGTCAGATATGACCCTTCACCTTTCACACCGGTGTACAGCTGCCCCGTGAACGGGTTATAGACGACTCCGACCACGGGCTCCTTGTTGCACGCGAAACCCAGCGAGATGGAGACGTAGGGGTACTGGTGCACGAAATTGGTGGTGCCGTCGATGGGGTCGCAGATGAAGGTCGGGTGGTGCGTCAGGTGCATGCCGGGTTCGTAGGTCTCCTCGCCCAGGAACTTGAATGTTGGGTATTTGGCGCATAGTGTGTGCGAGACCATCTTCTCCACCGCTTTGTCCGTTTCGGTTACGAGATCGACAGCTGATGAGTTTGTTTCCCGCTGTTAGTAAAGCATAGTTCAAAGGGGTTTTTTAAAGGGAAGATAGCAGTTACAGTTCTTCTTAGATCCGACTCCATCGGTGAGGGGCTTTGCGCCGGTGATTATGCTGCCCGCTTCTTTGGCGATGGTGATGAGCACATCGTGGATCTCTTTTAGGTTTAATCGCCAGCATTCGTCAACCATGGTGAGCTGTACCGCTTTGTGTGGGGTGATTGGAGCGACACGTTGAGCGGTTGAAAGATTAGATCTTCTGGGATGGGAGGATATGGTAGGGTTAGCAAACAGAAGTCCACGGCATGCTCAGGTACGATTTTTAACTATCTATGAGCGGTGTTGAGATCCACAGGGACTGCATATGAGGGATCAATTTTCGTCACTTTGGGATCTCCAATTTCTCTATCTCTAATTTCTCCAAACATGGGCTCATGGTCTGGTTAGCGTACACAGGCGTATTTGTTCTGCTTCCTCTGCTTGTACTGTAAAAACTTAGAAAACCTCCACAATCTTCTCGTCTTCATCCTCTTCCTGGGTCCCCGCTTGATCTCCCGCAGCCTCTTTCACTCCATCATCAGCCTCATCCCTCAACAACACCTGTACCAGCCTATCGCAAGCCTCCCGCACGTTCTCATCTTCGACATGCAGATGACAGTCCCTTATGATCGGGTAAATCTTCGCTCTGCGCATAATATCTCGTCCCTCTCTGCCAGTAGTCAAAAGCAAGAGCGTCTCCAGATGTGTCACCAGTATGTCCGGATCCGAGTCCCTCTCCTTGTCTGGTGGCAATAGCTGTAGATCAGGCAGCATACCCTCGGTGTCCTCGTCGCTGAGCTCCTCATTTCCTGCTAATGGCAGCAGAACGTAGGGAAGGATGTTTGCGCCTGACTCCGATAACAGGAACTGGTGTGCAGAGGCCTCGAAGCACACGTTTTTGAGTGTGCTGGCTACACCTTTCCTTCGGACATGACTTCTATGCTCATCGGTAAACACTGTTAGCTTCGTGATTGGCACGATGTCATCGTAAGCCTGTCTGGTCAGGAAATATTTCCTCCCAGCTTCAAGACGGGAGAGGTCTGCAAAAACGTAAGAGAGGTAATCGTAGTCTTTCGCGGGCTTGTTGGTAATCTCCTTTACGAAGCAATCCATCAGCTGGTCCACGGCATTGGTAGACGAGGAGACTGGTGGGTTTCCCAAGGGGATCGAGCGTGCGAGGGTTATAAGACGGTCCAACGAAGGAGATTTGGCGAGATTCGCAAGCAGCATGCAAAGTTCATTGGAGAAGGATTCTTTCGTCTCCTATCATCGAGCTTTGTTAGATATTGCCTGCCATAGTTGCACCGATGGCAGGGTGCTCAGAAAGCGTGTCACTGACATACTGTGATCTTCTTTAATAAGGTTTCGAGGAAGGCATCGTCTTCTGCGAGCGTGTTGACAACGTTCTCATCGTGAGAGAGGTTGACGAGTATGATGATTGCATTTTTGGCAATTGGCTATCAAAACATTGCATCAGCTTTTTGGAAGACTCAGTTATATCCTCCACGGCTTCCGACGTACGGCATAGTCTCGCACGAGCAATTTTAAGTCTCTGACGGGAAGCAGCTGGTGCCTCTTGAATATATCTGGATTGGTGGTAGAATAACCCAGCAAGTTCTCGCACGCTTTGTGTTGCGGCAACAGTCAGCATCGTCGCAATTGCAACCCTACTGCTGGCAATGTTGAGTTATCGTTGCAACCCATCGAGATGCGTCCAGGAAAGCTGTTAGTGAGTGGCTTACCTATTTGACGAATTTGGGAATTACCATGGTGGAGGAACTCCACAAGCTACAGTGTTGTCTCAGTCAGCCAGAAGTCTGCCTCGTCCAGGGTTTTCAAGCCGCAACGTACCTCCTCCAGTTCGGAAGGCATCTTGTTGTCAGATTAGGTTTGAAAGTACCGAGTACAGCCTTCGTCTTACCTCATTGGAAAACCTAGGTGGCTTGACCACCAAAGAGGGTTTTCAAAAGTGATAACGGTAGCCTGATCTCCAGAGCCACTTTTGAGGCCAATCCTCCCAGGCTAGCACCACCCATTTTGCACGACTGCCTCCTATGGAGGCTTAGCGACCGCGGTCATTAGCAAGGCCACTACAGCCAGAGCTGGGCTCGACCCTTGTGGCACATTTGTTTCATCCACAAACCCTCAGGCTGCACCAACACGATTGAGCCACGACGGAAAGCTCCGGAAGCGGTGGTAAGGATAAGATGGGTGTGCTGGAATTGTGATTTGACTCGAGGGATATTCAACGTACTGACGGTCATAATCCAAGAATGACTACATCTATCCATATAAAGAAGAGAGTCGTTTGATTTCCCCACCCCATGCATAGGTGTTCAAGGTTATTTTATGCAGATATCGCAGCATCTGTATACCTACGTTTCGTCCCAATCATATACTGAAACCGGCATGTTCTCATCACTCAGGGACCAGTAGCAGTCATGGTCCTCAATATCAAGACCGCCCTTGACGAATGCGCCGAACATGTAACGGATATCCAGCATCGTAATAATACCTTGATCGACTACTACATTTATCCCAAACCTGTCCCTACCGCAATCGCTGCCTATCAACCGAGACTCGCAACTCTTCAACAACGTATCAAGTTGATCAAGAAAGTCAACTTCAGTCAGCTAGAACAGCTAGTAAACGACCCTGACGGCTATGCTGCCCTCCACCTAAGAAGCATCATCGCCGAGCTACTCAATGCCATATTAGGCTTCCAAAGTCTCTTCGAAAAACACTATGACCCCAGTCTCCCCCAACAAGTACGCTACGTACAAGCCTTCAATGGTCTAAAATTTATTGATCAGCACCTTCATGAACTGATCAGTAAACGGCAATCCAAGCATAATCATCCGCGTGCTGAGCATCTCCTTGCCCACCACAGTTATGGTTCCAGCTACCAATTTTGCCGTGGCGCTATCCAAGTTCTTAATGAGGGAGATCAGGGCCTTATCGCCAATGTCTCAGACAACGATCTTCTTCCTTCTAACCGCTATACCCTAGCCTCCAAAGGGGGTGCTTACCTTTGGTGGACCTGCTCTTCTCCATCCTGCGCCTTTAGATTGCGCTTCCATGTACTCGGGTCACAGGAGTCGTCTATCCACCACAACTTGGAGACTCGTACCCATCCTTGCGTGAATTTGGAGTACCGTTCCATTTTCCTCGTCAAGTCGCATTTACATATCTCTTCTTACGACTGTGTGGGGGTCATCAAATACGGCTGTCTCTTCTGCTTTGCAGAGGGACGACCTCTGCAAGGCGAGGTCACAGCGTTTAGTACAGGGCGGGCACTGGCAACGCACCTTAGTGTTTCGCACCGAAGTGGCAACTTGCCGCCAGCGATGCTCTTGGAGAAATTTAAGGTTGCAGTTGGTGGGCAGTGTCCCATGGGGGTAAGCAGGTGGGATGCTAACATTTTGAGGAATTGATGATTGGAAGGAAAGGGAGTGTGTGGTAATCACCTTGAACTTCTGCCTTCGGCTCAGGGAGCGCACCATGTGGAGAGTACTCATGACGGGGGAAAGCTTGCTTTATTTTGCTCTGGTATTTCTTTTTGTCAAGATCTGGGTGCGGTCTATCGCCAGCCACGCGATGCACGATGAACGAAACGACGACATGTAATAGCAGCAATTGATTCTAGCGACGGCGCTCAGGATGTTGACGAATGGTTGGGCTTCTGGTCTTCTCCCTTTGCACATGTCGATTTATGTCAATGTTTGACGATTTATTGATCTTCTCGATCTGTATCTAGCTTGATTAAGAGAGACTTTGGTTAGGATGAGGATGCAAGCAGACATTCTCCTGGTTGGCTCTTCTCGGAGTCTCACTCACACTATGCGAATGTTCAGTTGCAATCCATCTCTAACTCCTGATCATCCACATAAAAGTTATATATTTATCCCCCCCAGCTGGGCCCCGGTTGGGATATGTCATCACCTTCAAAGGGTTTGAGACGTGCGGTCTTCAAGGTTTTGCTCTTTAGGAACAGGTATGGTTTTCTTCCACGCGCTGCAAATCAAGGCACAGTCTGTTTCGGTTACATGCACGCATGCTATGTAAGGTTCTGTATCGTGTACGGAGACCGGGGTGGTGTATGCCAAATCCAAATCCCAAGAGTCTTGTGGTGGTACTGGTTAGTAGTTGTGCAGGCTTACCAAGCACTGGCAGCTTGAATGTGTGTTTCGGATAGTGCAACCTGCAACCTTGGCATTCCGCACTTCAATCTTACCAGATCGACTTCGTCTGATTACAACATTACAGCGTAGCATTACCGAGTGGCATCTCAGCACTGCTCTGCTTGCGGCTCTAGAATACCACGAACCCCGAACCAAAAGATTTGTGATACTGGTCTAGCCAAAGTGACCTCACTAGATCCAAATTAAGGAGCGGAGGACCTACTTTCACACTCTTAGCCGGATGCTTCCGGTACTGGTACCTACATGTTCTGCTAAAAGCGAACCTGTAACCTGCCAATGGTGCAACACAACATACGGGCCGCCTGATACCGCATCCTATGGAAGAGCATATACCGCATCCTATGGAAGAGCATCACCATAGCCAATAATTAATAATACGCAGTTGAATTGGCGAAAGCCGGTCGAAGGCTGTTACCAAGATGCATACCACAACCGATGAATCCTTTGAGTCCTTCCAACGCCCCTGACTAACGCCCCTGACTAACGCCCCTGACTAACGCCCCTGACTAACGTCCTCGAACACATGGTTAGGCCTTCTGTCTACAAAGAGCTCACTGAAGAGAAAAACATCTAGGTCGATAGACGTTGCTTTACTTGCTTCGCGAATGCCACCCTGCCCTCGGAACATTCGAAGCCCCCATGCGAAGGAATATCCAACCCGTGAGACCCCAATTACGAGCCTCCTGCAGCTGAGGCACAGAGATTCATACGACATCCAAAAGTACGCTGACAGAGGATCAGTATTTCATAGCGGCTTGGCTCAGTCATCGATCGAACATGCCGGGCCATAACATGTCCAGGCTTGATCACGTGATCATCTTATGAGGGCTTCCAAGTCCCGTTACCGTAATGGGGGCGGAAGCACAGCCCTACAAGCGGTCCGTATTCAGGTCGTCTTTCAGCCACCTTGTCCGCTTACGCCTCAGGCTTATACCTGGCACACTAGTGCCAGGCAACTTAGAATAGACGGGGTGGTGGCAAGGCATCGGCCACACCCTCAAGCTCTCCAAAAAAGTACCATAGAAATCCGGGGCAGATGTAGGGCAGCCAGTGGCTATGACGCTCCATCGCTGCCAACGAATAGGCACCAGCGTTGGTCATAATATGGCAGATAACGGTTTTGGCAGTCAGTGGCGAGATTCTGAGAACCGTAGGTCGCCGGAGTGTAGGAAGAAGGGTGACAATCTTACACTTCGCCTGATGACCAGGTTCAATTGACGGCTTTGATGCAGTGAAACTCAGAGTCTTCTCACCCTGTTGCTTTTGCCGGTTTGCACCGGGTGTGGGCGCCGCTCTGTGCGTTCGGGTTGAGTCAGTCAAGTACTTCCCTCTGTTTCCCTCTCCTTCGATTGTACTCCATTCCGTCTATTCAACCTTCCGTTCAGAGCAGTGACAAATCGCTCAGTCTGCGTCATTCAATTCTTCATTGAAGATAAGCCTTTGAGTCTGTCTTTTTCCTCTTCACACCACCCACACTCTTCCATATTGGTCACAGAAGACCCACGTAGCTCGCCTCATCTAGGCTTCTATTGCACAACAAAAAACTCATCGAAGAACAATTTGAGACCTTGAGCACGATGTCCAACCCCAGCAGTGGATCAACATTCGGGAGTTTATCGGCATCTGACAACTCTTATATTGGAACATTGCCAATTGTTCGGCTACTCGAAGATGTCGATGCCTACGCTGGCGCCGTATTTGAGATGTCTACGGGGACCCTCAACGAACTCCTGAGTGCGGAACGTTTCGACCGTGATCGAGGCGAACTGGTTGGTCCGGCAAGGCTGGATGGGCAAGAGAAGCTTCTGACAAGCTTCCACCAAACCATAGAAGACGCCCGAAACGACCTTTCCAACATGAAGAGTGGTGACTTTGCTGCCTTGTCGCTTGTCTGGGGTAGCGGTGCTGGTGTGTCCCTCAAGGATTGCCTTTGGTAACGCAGTGCTAACTCACTCTCCCAGAGGTCGTCGGCCAGGAGCTGCAGGAGATCATAAAAAAGCTTGCAGAAATCAAAGGCCAAGTAGCCGATTTAAGGGACAATATCCACGGTAACAGCATTGCTCGAAGAGTAGAGTCTAGGAGCGAGACAGCAGCCGAGCTCTTTGCCCGTCACAAATCCCTGATGAATATACATACCGACGATGGTGCCATCCGATATCAGAGGGACATTCATCCTTGCAAGGGCGCCCTCCAATTACTCAAAGGCGATGATGGAGGCATCATTGACCGCTGCTTGAGAAAAGACCTAACACTTCAGGAACTTGAAAGGCTTGACAAAGGTGGTAAGAGTGGGACCTACCACTTTTGGAAATGCGACAGTTGTGTATTCCGCATTAAGTACTTCGTCTCTAAAAGTCGGTACGCATGTCTACTGACTAACGATGACAATTGTACCTTTAAGGACTCAAAGGTCCAGTGCACCCGAGCCTTCATTGCAATGTCGCACGTCGAGCAACGAGGAGTTAGGAAACATAGCAGCTTGAAAGGTCCACCGAAGTATACTTGCTTGATATGCGCCTTGCATCGTCTTGCAGCACGGCCTGATCATGACCATACCTTCTTGAACCGAGAAGACTATATGAGGCATGTTGAAGACCTACATATTGATGGTAACACACTTCCTGCATTCGTTCTGCAGAAGCTGGGCATTGAGCATGGTGGCAAGTTGCCGGATGGCGTTCGGAGAGAACTGTGGATTGGCTGATGGATCAGCCTCTTACAATCAAAGACGATCTCCTATTTTTCTTTGAGAGGGTCATGAGAAAGTCGAAGATGAAACACGGCAAACGTCGAAAAAGTTATTGAGACACTGTTAGCAAAGAGATGACCGCAAGAGCACATCCAGCAGAGAACGTTTGCAGTACATGGCCAAGGGTAACAAGATGTTCCTCATGAGTTGATGTTCTGAACCCACCACAGTTTTGCAGCGGCAAGCCGAACTCTGAAGTGACACATCATTGCCTTTGCAAAGATTGGCGGAAACACTCACTTCCATATGCAACTTCAAGACCCAAAGTTTGGCTTGACAGCTCTTGACCAACATCGGTGGCCTGCACAACCGCAGATTTATCCACTTGGTCTACTTGCATGTATAGACATTGCTTCGAATTTCTGGGTTGTCCCCAGTCCATAGAAGCTCGGTTCACGCACCCATTGAGTATTCAAAGAAGCATGGTGTCGGTGTCATTTTTTAGATTCTGAAGTGACCAAATGTGATCCTGTTGGGCGCCATCAGCATCACTTCATTCTTTGTATCTGTTACATTTCCCTGAGCGGAAGTGGCTCAGACCCTTTGGAGGGTGACTCCTGTTTCTAATTTCCAAGTATTGCTTTCTATTGCTCAAAAATAGATTACGTAGATAAACACACTCTACCCTGAGCGCCGTCAACTTGTCTCCTGCCTTCTTTGCAGCCACTTCTTGTGTCATTATGGAAGGTGTCTAGCTCCGCGAGGGTGACGAATCTGTGCTGCCAAAACAGTCACCCGTCCCCATCGAACCGGGCTGTGCCACCCCCAAAGCTTCCCATGAAGGGCCTATAGGGGTATATTGATGCTGTTCGGAGGCATTTTGAATTTCCTCTGGACCTATGAGAAACCATTGTGTTGCGGCTGGAAGGCGCAATCCCATGTTCCATATCCTGATCCTGCGATTATTCTCGAGAGCATTTGCCAATGCCCAAAGCGCGAATTTGAGGTGATACAGAAGGGCAGGAATGGTGTTTGCGTAAGCGTGGGTGACCATGGCGGTAATCGTATTGATGTTCCGCCCTGGATACTTTGCTGTCTCAAGGGGTTCGCCATCACTGAGATATGCTTCAGGAACGGTCGGTGCTTCAGTAGATTATTCGGGAAGACATATGCATCCCAGTTAGACCATGCATTCTTTCGCGAAGATTCAGAGCGAAATAAGGCAGGTGCGCGAGAAGCCGGTCGTTGTTCGACGATTGTCTTTCTTCTGACTGTCTCGTAATATCGGTTTCACTGCCGACATTAAGAGTCGCCAGACACGTTCAGCACATCCGCCAGCTTCGTAAGATCTGCCTCATCCGAGAACTTCTCGACTGCACTGAAGAGACAACCCGACAAATTGTGCCATGGAAGATCGATCTCTGAGTAGAAGAGGATGAGAGGAGCTAAGCGTTCAGCAGCCATCTGGGAATCTACCTTGCTTTCCAGGAGATCCTGCTCGGTGGGTCGAGCGACTTCTTCTAATTTCTTGACCTGACGCATCGATTGAACGAGTTATGTGGGTTCCTAAGGAAGAGAGCCAGCCCTGGCGGTGTTGCAATGGAGAGGGGGATCGCGAGATGAAATGGCTGATGGATTCCGAAATCACAGCAGTCTTGCACAGTACTTACTTCGGTGAAATACTATGAGTGCTTACTACCGTAGGCTCTAAGCAGATGGAGGTCCAACAACTCGTTGCCGCACGCTTACTTGATTCTGCGCAGGATTGCGGCTGAGTTCACAAAGCACCCCTGTAGGTATACTACGTAGGTAGTACTACCTACCTAGGTTTCGGTCAAGGTTCGATTTTAGCGTGGGGCGCTGAAGCCAACCCAGCAACGCCCTGGGCCGTCAGGCATCCGCGGTAACTAATTATTAGTTGATCCATGGGTGTAGTCCCATGTGCAGCGGCTACTCATGCAATGCTTTGGGGCATCTCCACTGGAGCATCTTGGCATTATCATGACTGCTCAATTTAGGATAGCTTTTTCATATGGATGGATCGCCCCTTCAGCAGTCTGTAGAGCCCATTCCTCTTCGAACACTACACAGGTCTGCCTGCGAGGATGTCGTGGTCACCGACGACGCCAGTGACGAACTGGAAGTATACCCAGACACAGACGTCGCCCTCCCTCGACACCACGGTGCACATGCAGCTAATACTTCGGGTGACACCCTGACCTCTGCGGTTGTGCCACAGACTGTCCTCGAACGCTTCATCGAATTCGTCATGTCGAACAGCCCTCTTCTTGTCCGATCCTCGCCGTCAATAGCCAGAGACTCATACGGCGCAATGCCTAGTATTCGTTCGCGTCGGGGCTCGACTCTGACTCATTCTTCTGATGATGAAGCAGACGACATACGAAAGAGAGACAAGCGGAAACCTGTTCGCACTTCAACTTCCGCCGGTAGAATGGAAGCCTCACTCAGTACTCCGGATCTCGGTCGGCAGCACATCCCAAAGGCTAGACCGAGAGGCCGCGCCACCTCGCAGACCAGCGAGGTAGGCATGGGAATGGAGTCGAAAACATCTTTTGCAGGCGGAGGGCCACTACCTCAGAGATTCATGGAGCCGGTCAGCGGCCCCTCCAGTTTCAGCTCTGCTGCAAGCAGTAGGGAATCTTCTTCCAAAAGAAGCAACAGACGAAGATACAACGAGGATGATCCACCAGATAATTCGCCCTACCCAGAAGTCCGAGCCTCTGTGCGAGCTACAGACGATACAACCCTGTCCATAAGCACCCCTCGAATGTGGACTCTATCACTCCTCTTTGCTCTAGCTGGATCAGCCACCAATCTCTTCTTTTCTCTACGCTATCCCAGTGTTGCCATTACTCCTGTCATTGCACTTGTGCTTGTCCATCCACTCGGCAAACTATGGGACCTGCTATTGAAACAGTATGATGACCCTGAGGAGACTTTTATCGACGGCATTCGTCAAAGCATGATCTCGGAGACATATTCCCTGAAGCATAGGTTCCGGCTTTGGCTGGCACAAGGCAGGTGGAACGAGAAAGAACATGCTTGTGTATACATCAGCAGCAATGTGTCCTTTGGCTTTGCCTTTGCTACGGATGTGATTGTCGAGCAGCACAAGTTTTACAAGCAGGATGTGTCAGTTCTTTACCAGATTCTTCTGACAATCTCTACACAGATTCTTGGTTATGCTTTTGCTGGACTGACTCGTAGATTCTTGGTGCGTCCTGCTGCTATGATCTGGCCTGGCACACTGATGTCGACGGCCATGTTTACCACGATGCACAAACAGGAGAATGAGCCTGCGAATGGCTGGATCATCACGCGGTATAAGTTTTTTGTATATGTCTGGCTAGGAGCATTCGCATGGTACTTTCTTCCTGGACTTCTTTTTCCTGCTCTGAGCTATTTCAATGTTGTCACATGGTTTGCTCCAGAGAATGTGGTTGTTGCCAACCTGGTACGTATCCAATCGCTTTTGGAACGTCTCGAGCTAATTGGTCCAGTTTGGCGTTGTATCCGGCCTCGGACTATTTCCAATGACATTCGACTGGGCACAGATTGCATACATCGGATCTCCGCTTCTTACGCCCTGGTGGGCTGCTGCCAATGTTGTTGGAGGTCTTGTGCTCGTGATGTGGGTTATTGCTCCGATTTTGTGTATGGAAAGTCTGATACCCTGCCTACCCATCTGCTGACCGCTACAGATTATAGAAACACGTTATTTTCTTCCTATTTACCCATTCTATCCACGGCTGTCTTTGACAACACTGGCAAGCCTTACGACGTGGCGAGAATTCTTACGCCGGACTTCCTGTTTGATGAAGTTGCCTACGAAGCATATTCTCGCGTCTACCTCCCCATCACCTACGTGCTCTCATATGGCGTCCAATTCGCCTCCCTCACCGCTCTGGTAACTCACACAGCCTGCTGGTATGGTCGCGATATCTGGAGACAGAGCAAGAAGGCGTTTCTTGAGCGCTACGAGGACGAACCGAGGGCAACCTACCAGCCCATCCCCGCAGCACCACACAACAATCCCAGCCGGCAATCCACAGACCTCACTCCGCCAAGCGTCGACGGCATGATCTCTGGCGCCGAAGACGTGCACTGCCGCCTCATGCGCCGTTACCCTGACGCCCCTCTTGGCTGGTATCTCGTCACCTTCGTCCTCATGACCCTGATCGGCATCTTCGTGGTAGAGTACTACCCGGTCTACCTCCCCTGGTGGGGCCTCCTCCTCGCCTTGGGCATCACCTCCCTCCTCTTCATCCCCGTCGGCATCGTCATGGCCATCACGAACCAACACTCCTCCCTCTACCTAGTCTGCCAACTCATCGCCGGCTACCTCTTCCCCGGCGCGCCCGTGGCAAACATGGTCTTCGTCACCTACTCCTACATCTCCTCCGCCCAAGGAATCAAATTCTCCTCCGACCTCAAACTCGGACACTACATGAAGATCCCACCGCGCCTCCTCTTCAGCGTCCAGATGCTCGCCACCCTCGTGTCGTCACTGACGCAAATCGGCGTCCTGAACTGGATGTTCACCCACATGCCGGGCCTCTGCACCCCAAGCGCGCCATCAACGGCTTCACCTGCCCGCTCGCGCGCGTCCACTTCAACGGCTCCATCCTCTGGGGCGTCGTGGGCCCCGCGCGCTTCTTCGGGCGCGGAGCCCTCTACCGGCCCCTGATCTGGGCGTTCCTGATCGGCGCCATCGCGCCCATCGGCGTCTGGCTCATCGGCCGCCGCCGACCCAAGACGTCGCCCTGGCGCCAGATCAACCCGCCCGTCCTGTTCGGCAGTCTCTCCTGGATCCCGCCCGCCTCGGGCCTCAACTTCAGCGTCTGGGCCGTCGTCTGTTTCGCCTTCAACCACGTCGTGCGGCGCCGGCGGAGCGAGTGGTGGGCGAAATACACCATGACGATGAGCGCGGCGTTGGATTCCGGGCTGGCGTTCGCCTTGCTGATCGTCTTCTTCGGGGTCGTGTATCCCGGATGGATGGAGGGGTTTCGCTGGTGGGGCACCGACGTCTATAAGATGGGATGTGATTGGAGGGCTTGTCCGTATACGAGGTTGGGCGAGGGGGAGAAGTTTGGAGACTAGCTCACGGAGTGTGTGGACTGCGGTTGTGTTGGTTTGAGAATACAGGTAGATGGTAAAATAAGTAACAGAGTCCCTTTTTTTAATCTCTCTCCCTCACTCCCTACCACTCCCCCTCCTCCTATCTCCCAGATCGCAATCGCAATTTCAACCATCATCATCCTCCCCCTCCCCTCCTCCTCGTCCTAGCCCGACTCCTCCCCTCCCACCACCTCCTCATGGCCTTGACATCCCAGCCCTGACTCTCCAACACGGCCTCATCATCCTCGAACCACTTGATCTCCTGGCGCATCAGCCGCTCGTACGCGTTCAGTTGTTGTTGTTGTTGTTGTTGTTGTTGTTGTTGTTGTTGTTGTTGTTGTTGTTGTTGTTGTTGTTGTTGTTGTTGTTGTTGTTGTTGTTGTTGTTGTTGTTGTTGTTGTTGTTGTTGTTGTTGTTGTTGTTGTTGTTGTTGTTGTTGTTGTTGTTGTTGTTGTTGTTGTTGTTGTTGTTGTTGTTGTTGTTGTTGTTGTTGTTGTTGTTGTTGTTGTTGTTGTTGTTGTTGTTGTTGTTGTTGTTGTTGTTGTTGTTGTTGTTGTTGTTGTTGTTGTTGTTGTTGTTGTTGTTGTTGTTGTTGTTGTTGTTGTTGTTGTTGTTGTTGTTGTTGTTGTTGTTGTTGTTGTTGTTGAGGTGTGGGATGTGCTGGGGGAGGGAGGGTCGGGTGTATGGTGCTGGATGCTTGGTACGCTGCTCTTCTCTGGGGCGATGTGCGCGCCGCCGCCGCGTGGGATGGCTCTGCTCGGGGTCTTGATTGGTTGGTGGTCTGGGTTGCGGACGAATGTTGGTGGGTCGGAGGGAAGCGGCCGTGGTGGTGACGGGTCGGATGGAGGTGGTCACTTATGCGCGCAATTGCGGTTGTTGGGGTGGAGCTGTGCTGAGAGTCAAAGGATTGATTGACGTTGAGCTCGTGGAGAGCTTGGCGATTGCTCTCGAGCTTTCTGCGGTCGATAGCTATTGTTTCAAAGTCATCAGAGTCGCTGTCGTGGGAGGAGTCGACAGACTCGGCATGCCTCTTTCGGCTGTTCTGGAGCTCAAATGACTGTTCTGCGGATGAGACACTGTGTTTGGCCCTCTTGCGGGACATGATCTGCCCCTCTGCTTCCTCTTCGGGTTCCGCAATTGCAGATCTCTTCTTCGTTTGCGTTTGTTGTGCCTGGGGCTTCGAGGGAATGAAATCGCAATCTGCTATTCTCAAGAATACTACTTTGCCCTGACCATTCAACCTCTTTGCTCGCTGGATCCTGAACCTCTTCAGAACAATGGTACTTCCAACTACAACATCTTCAAGGTTGATCAATACAATCAGCCGGCTTTCAAGAAGTGCCTGCACCACCAACACCCCATCACTTAGGATCAGACGGTATGCTCTTCTCTTTTCATCTCCACACGAGCGTTCGTGCTCTGATGGCTCACTCGCCTGGCTATGATTGCCAGCTGCCGCCAGCAGGACCTGCTCGATCCGTAGGGCTAGGGACGCCGGATAGACACATGTGCGGAAGAGTTCTGCGAGGCAGGGACGCACGAAGGACGGGTTGGAGGGCTCTGAACCGTCGAGCATGCTCTGTTGCCATGGTGGGAGCTGATAGTGATACAGGTCAGGCCACTTGCGTGACAGGGCGAGCTTCACACGGCGCAGCACTGTCACTGGCACTGTCAAGATCCATCTGTCTGCATCGTCGCCGCGTCGGATCTCCAGACGCGCTTCAATGCTTCAATGATGCTCTTGGCGCCAACACCCAACCAACACCCACACCATGTCCAGAGTGAGCGACGCAATTGGCTACTTCTACGGAGTACGGCTGACTCAGATAATGCTTTCAGAACACAGCTGCAGGAGCCTGGAATGAAGCTCTATAAGTCTCTACTGGAGGGGTTTCTATCCTGTTGACGGCTGAGTGAGCCGTCTATCGATATCAACGCCCCTGAAAGGCCAAGCTCGCCGTTTCCACAGACGAAGTGTGCAGAATCACTTCCTCTTCACGAACCAGATTCCAATGCTAGACGTTGCTGCAGCGAAAACGACGAATTCTAATCATCTGCTTACTCCGAGCTCCAAGGGACCAAATTACCATGGAATGGCACTCTCGCTTTCCGGAATTTTTCTTCATCAAACTTCCATACTCCACTCGTCTTGTCCGGTGATAACTTTTCCTCCTGTGGTGTGCCCAGCTTCTCAAATACAGGAGCATCGTCGACTCTCGAGAAGAACTTGGGTTCCCACCTCCTTCCCTCTGCCTGCTCTTTCTTGCGCATCATTCGCTGCGCCTTTTCAATTTTGGATTTGGCATCGTTTGTGGCCTGCATATCACCTGCTCGGAGAGCCTTCACCACGCCGGACCATGCACGACGTGACTCCCATGGATCTTGTTTCTCGAGCGGAGCAACAGTGAGGGAGGTAGCTGGGCTTTTATGTGTATCGTAAGCCTCGAGCTCTTTGTTCTTGCGTACGTCCTTGAAGATGAGTGCATCGCTCCATTGGCCCTCTACCGTGAATAGTGGATTATCTTCGTCGCCGGTCTTGTATAATTTAGCACGCACAGTATTCCTCTTGCTGCCACTTAGTCCCAGAAATGAGGTTCCTGAAAATTCGATCTTTGAAGTATAACCGGATGATGAGTATATATGGACTGGGCCACTCAGCTCAGGATATGGAGATCCGGTGAGGAGTGACTTGATGTGCACCGTCGGAAGGGTCTGGAGGTAGTCCTCGTTGTATTTGGCGAGGTGCAGGACGGCATGACCGGTCTGAGTGACGTTGACAGCTCCATTGAATGTGATTTCTTGCCTTGTATAGCCTTGCGCCTGGGCAGGAACGGCAGGTAAGCCGTATGAAAGAAGTTGAAGTGGTCCAAGTACAAGAGAGTTAAAAACCTACTCGAACTCCATGTTTCTCGTTCCACAGATAGCATGCTGTAACGGGTGGATGATGGCTGGACACCAGCTTGTTAGTTGGGAGTTGGCAATCTTGCTCGCAGGCAAGAACTTCGCCCGCCTACCTGACTTGTTCCGAGATCAATTTTGTTTTTCCCGTTCTGGCATCATTCCACTCCGCTATAAATAACTCGCCCAGGAATGCGTTGAGAGGCTTCTTAACACCATCTGCCTCGTGACCAGTATGATACTGCTGTGCCTTGAGCGCGCTTAGATACCATTTCAGGACAAGCAAGGCCCTCTTCTCGACGTTCGGCTCCAAAGCCGGTGCAACGAGGATCGAAGGACGTTCGCACCAGGTGGCAGGAAACTCGACGGCGGACTTCTGCGCCAGGAGGAATGGTGGTGCGGTAATATTGGAGAGATCACCTTTGATGCTGGAAATGGAGGCTACAAACTGTTTCAATGCGGATATGTTTTCCGATGACGAAGACATTCTTGCAAAGAGATCCGGGGAACGAAAGACGTGCTGTGGAGGATAGAAGGTATATAAAGTTCTACGGAGAAGAAGGCGGCAGGCCTTCGACCATGCACAACGCTTCCTTTGGGCGACCCGGGATTAGACATGGTAATCAGTCGAATGGTATGTAACTGAAATACTACTACGGAGACGTGCATCAACAGTCTTCAGTATACGCTAACACTAGAGCGCCACTAGCGCAGGCTGCTGACTTCTAGTGTCCGCATAAATTGTTCATTATAAGGATAGAGTCCTAAAAGTGCCTAACAATCCCCTCTGATCCTGACGGCTTCTGAGGCTCTTTCCTAGGCCAAATGGCCTTTAAATAATAATGTCAAAGCCTGCTAAGATTTAGCTAGTTATACTCTCATGACACTACACTAGTATAAGAAGAGTTAGCTACCAGTTAGTGTATATCGAAGACTCTTGACGTACGCCTCCGTACGGGTCCCTGCTCAGAGGCATTGGGCCCGGCTTGGCATTGTTGCTTAGCGAAGGCTTCATTGCCGACGTTCCTTATTCGCGCGACCTACGTAATGTACTATGACCAACACAGTAATGGATGCGCCCGCGCCCGTCACGTAGTACGGTGGTACAAGTAGCAGAAAACAAGTGCCAAGGTCGCAGATGAGGTTTGGGAGACAATCTTGGGGTGCACTTACTACGTAGACACATGCTATGGTCACGCTTCATGGATCTCTTAGGCCGTCTATATCTCCTTACACCATCTTATCACTACATCACTCATCCCAGCCTCAGCTCCACCAACAGCATCGACAATCTCCTCGAGCACAACATCACACCTCCACATCCTTGTCTGCTCCTGTCCGATGCCTTTGTTGGCTGCTGGCAGGACAATTTCCCATTGGGCCAGATCCTCCCATGCTGCAGCGGCAACGTCGCGATTCCAAAGCTTCGTAGCTTGGGCAATAGATCCCGCAGCGGATGCCTGAAGGCGTGCACGTGATACCAGGTCCACATAGTGGCTGTATACCAATGCAAAAGTCACGACCGCCGCGTTGTATATAGCATCCAAACGTGCAGCAGAGATCAGAAGGCTGAGATGGAGGTCTGGAATACTAGGAAGCATGTCAAGGACAGTGTCAGGGGCGCTCAAATCTGAGAGCATTGCAGGCCTGAGGTTGATCTGATCAAGGGAGATAATCGTCGCGACATCAACGTAGAGGCTGGAGAAAAGGTCGGGTATCGATTTGGTGGTATAGAAACACTGCATGAGAAGCCTTTGGACATGAGAAGAAGGAATGAAGACTTTCTGTTACATAGCCAGGTTAGCTTGAGATTACCTCTTCGCACTCCTGAATGTAGACGAACCTCAACAAACGCATTCCACTTGTCGCAAATCTCGACCGATATGTTCTGACGCTCGTGATCCCGGTCCTGGTCTCGAAGCAGTAACGCAGCCCTAGCAATCTCCTCAAATGCTTGCAAATTCTTGGCATGGGAAATGTGGATCCAGCGATGACTGAAGCGGCTCTTAACCCTCTTCTCGAGCGTGTCGCTGACATCGACGCGTGCACTACAACCAATCACTGCTATCGGTGCTTTCCGCGCTTGTGCAATGTCGAACAAATTGTACAATAACGTCTGTCGTGGGTGTGTTGTGAAGAGATCGAATTCGTCAAGGACAAACACCACACTCTTCGTTGTCCTGCCCATTGCATCAGACTCCAGCGTCTCAGCCAACTCTTCGGGATGCGAGAGGAGGTGGAGCAGCGAAGCCATGGTATCAGCGTAGGTATTGATTTGCGCAGTCTCATCTTCTTCCACTTGCATTTCTCGACCCAATTGGCGCCATATTTCGCGAAGCGCAAGCTTGTCATCGGTTTGGTGGAACCCACTCAACCGAACGACATGGAAGTCTCCGGCACATTCAGTTGCAAGATTGGCAATGGCAGTCTCCACCAAGCAGGTCTTCCCAGCGCCCCGTGACCCTAGAAGGAGGATACTGTTGCCCTCACCAGATTTAATTGTGGCCGAAAGAAGAGTATATAGCTTGCTATACTCAGCTTCGAGAGAGGTGAGAGGTGTAAGGATCTGGCCGGTCAGTCGAGATAAGACGAGTGATTTGACGGGATCGAGCCTTAGATCTATATGTGCAGGGTCAGGATCTAGCAAAGGAGTAATGGCAATATTGGGCCCTTCTGGGACATCAGAGAATGGCTCTTCTTCAACCTCCTCTTCAACCTCTGGCACTCTTGATTCTTCATTGTTCATTGTGAGTTCTGCTATCTGATGGACATCTTTACCAGCCTTCTCCTGAGCTTCATCACTTTGGTATGGCTCCTTCCTGCGTCTCGCTCTCTGTGTCTTCTTCGTGGTGGTTGTGTCGAGATCTTTAAAGCCCAAATCTCCGATTACTGTGGTTCTGTCTTGTTCGAATGCGACAGACTTTCGAGGCGTTTTGTTTCCCTTTCTGCTAGGTGTTAAAACGCCTTTGGGTAGGCCGGGGTTGGGGTTGTCTTCCCAAGCACTTGAGAACCGCCGAGGCTGTTTTCTCTCTCGGCCGCTGGAACGCGTCCCGATAGACGCTGTCTCGGCTTTCTCCTGACCATTGTGGCTTGTAGATGCCTTCTCTGTTTTCTCTGGTGTCCTTCCCTGGTGTCTCGAGCTTGTTCTTTGTGATTTCGTTGGGGTCATAGTCACTTCGTGTTGCGCAAGCTCGTCTGCGCTTTCGGTGCTACTAGCATGTGCCTCGGGTCCCCCGGCGACGCATGCGATTTCATCCTCGTTCAAAGAGTCCTCCTTAGACCCGTAAGTGGAATCACGGACGTTGGTTGAGGGACTTTCTTGCGCCAACTCATCCTCGCTGTCTCTAGCTTTGAAATGGCGTCGCGAGGTACTGGTCAATCTTTTCGAGCTGGGGCGAGAAGTAGAAGGAGTTACTTGAGTCTTTGCAGACCCTGCACCAGGCGTCGCTATCCTTCGTCGCTTAGAGCTTCGTGGAGAGGGTTCGAAGTCGGACATCCTGATAAAGAACAGAACTGGCGCGTTTCTGGGCGATCTCACTTGCCTGAGAGTTCTATTAACCGCACAAGGAGCATTGGGTGCAGCGGTTGTATCATATTGTAAGTGTTGAGGCCTTCGAAATTATTGTGTTCGCGCAATAGCACAGAGGAGAATTAATGTTCCGTACATGCAAGCACTTTAGGTAATACGACGAGAACGCGCCAAGGAATATAAGTTCATGTACGGTATTGGTACTAGTCCAAATCAGGCAATAGCCTGATGCCGCTTTCAAGCTGACTTGGGGATATCTTGCGACTTTCCCTTGCTCTTCCTACTTCTTTCTTATGTGTAGTATTGGGGACCTTGTTCTTTTCAGGCAACGAGCTAGCGCAGGACTGCTTGCAACAAGCTAGCAAACAGGGACAGTGATGATCACCACCATGAAAATCAATGCAGTTTCGCAATCTCCTGGTCCTATGGACAGATGTGTTTGGAATGTTGACTGACAACTTTTGTCGTTGCACAAGTTCTGAGTCCCACTCAAAGAATGTATGTGAGCCTGACGTTCCTTTTGGTGGAAAGCTGTGGCAAGCATGGATATTCCTACTACAGACTCACAAGTATCAAAGGCCCTTCGTTGGACGATGGACTGAGCGGGTTATCTGGAGATGTACATAGCACGAAAGTCATGAATGCGGTCACGCCTCAATTCGCAGTAATAAGTATACATAACTCTGGGTACCGACTGAATCACTCTCCTCGATTACATGATCATAAAGCAGCTAGAGCCCTAGCTCCTCATCACTAATGAAGCCAACACCCAAAAGCAATAGCAAAAGTCCTTCGTAGCCAACAGGTTCCAAGTACAGCTCCATACCCAGAAACTCCTTCCTCTCGTGAAGTTGTGCTTTCACGCAAAAATCCGCTCCTTTCCTCATGACCAATACCAAACCTGGGATGTTGTTCTCCCAAAACCTTGATGGAAAATGCCAACGGCAGTGTCTGTGACCTGGCAGCCGTGCCAATCCCCTGCGCCACACCGTTGTTCATACAAGAGCCACCCCGTTGGCAGGTTGGCCAACAGGTACCTCACTCCGCCAGTTCTCGATGCGCTGCTCAGCAGTGCTTTCATTTGCGCTCTCTAACCGATCAGCAGCAAGCAAGTCCTCAAGTCCGCCTGCTCGACGACCACGGTTGATGTTGCGTACTGCAGGCCTTCTTGCCGCATTTGGTAGTGCCGTAGGAAGAGGTATGATTTCTTCAGCAGGGTCGTTTGTAGTGCGGTTGGCTGCGATGTTACCATTTCTACGCCTGGGATTGTGTTGGCCGTTTGATCCTATTCTGGCCGCGTTATTCCAGGCCGTATTGGAAGCAGTGTCGTGCCTCAGAAGCTGTGCTGTTTGGTTTGCCATGGTGCGAGCTGGAGCATCCAACTCATAGGGACCTGGTGGCAGAGGATTTTCTCTGCCAGTGACCGTTCCGTTAAGCAATCCCTCTGCAGCGTGAGCAGCTTGTCGAAAGTTACCGGTAAGGATGTTTCTTGCTTGTTGCCTGAAATCATGGTTGAGAAAGTGCTCAGCTGCATTTCCTAGACCAAGTATTTGCCCTGGATTGTCACCTGCGACAATGTCATCAGATGGTTCATCGTCGACACCTAGCACTTGCATGCGCCTGGCCAAGGCTTCGTCCCTGTGCTCTTGGTGTCTTCTTCGATCCAATTCTTCTTGATACCTGATAGGGGCACGTCTATCTTCATCGTTATACACTCTCCCCCCTTGCGCCATGTCCATGTGCTGCAATCTGTCCGCTTCTACCGCCTCGTAGTTGAACCAGGGACAGTCACAGGTCTTCCACTTGTTGCCACATATCATGCAGAACTCTGCAGTGCACCTGCACGTCATATGGTTGCATCCTTCTTTCAGCTCGACCATAGCAGAACAGTTGAAGCAGCGTTGCCACCCTTCTTTCTTAGCAACTTCGGCGAAGGCATTGGCCTCGGGATCCTTGGGACATTCTCGAGAAGTGTGCATTTTGTTGTTACATACGCAGCATACGCGTGTCCCACATCTTTTGCATTTTCCTACTTTGCGACCATTCTCCACGTTGATATGATTCGGTTTGATCCACTCGCCACAATGGCGAGACGGGCAGTAGATACGGTCTCGCGTCGTATACTCATGGAACTTCCTGTTCCAGGTCTTTTTGAACTTTTGGTCGAAGAGCTTGTCGACATATTTGAGCGGAATGTGATCAGAAGTGCAACATTTTGGTGGCATGTGGGCAGGGTCGCCGACAGACATCGTAAAGATGCGGCGCAAGCAACCATGGCACATCCTGTGCGTACAGGCAAGTTTCGCTGTCTTGATGATTGGTACGTCGTCCGAGCCGCAAGTGAGACAGGTCACCTTTTTGAGACTCGACTGGGTAGCGGGCGTACTTCGTAGAAAGTTTGACAATATGCCTGACCCCTTTTTAGCATGCGACCCTGCAATAGATGGTGCGTTCTTTGCTCGTGTAGGACCCAGCCCTGTTGTCAGAGTAGCGTCGGGTTTAGAACGTATGGTGGTTGCACTGCGTTGCAGTGAAGGTCGAGAAACGTGTGGGCTTTGCCTAGACGGTGTGTTTCTGTCCTGTATCAGCAGGTGTATACTTTTGAAATAAAAGCTCAAATCAGTTACCTTTCTGATGAGGCTGGCTTGCACTCATCAATACCATACGAGTTTCGGGGAGCGTGGTGTGTCGGTCCTATAGGCTCGCTCTGCCTCCTTCGACAAGTCTCTCGCTGCTTTTCAACAGCAGCATCCTGTCCACCGAACCGTCTTTTATTATCTCCCTTAGTGCACCTATCGATGGTCTGCCGCCTCGACTGAGAGGGCGCCTTGATCTGCACATCGCTATGTTCGTCCCCGTCCGACTCATTTCCCTCTACATCATCTTTTCTGGCTTCGATGTCTTGTTCTCTGCTACAATCATCGTACACTGGTTGATAGTCGCCCGCCTCTGCTTTGTTGTTCCGCACTTTGCGCCGAACATGCTTCCGTTCTGGGTCGATTACCTTACGCCGTCGCTTTACAGCCGACGTTTGGCGCACATGTCGGACGTCTTTCGCTTTTACAGCTTCTCTTGTGATGGTCTCTCCGACGTATTTCATCTTCTTCGTTCTGTTTCCGGCAGATGTATCGATATAGTCTAAGCGGGCTCTTCGCAACGCCTCAAGGTCGACTGGTTTGTCATCTGCAGGCGATTTCACAGGGGCGGAACTCCTGCCGGCTCGAGACTCCTTTCTGTCTTTTCGGGGGCGACTCCTGAGATTGGTGCGTCGTCTCGAAGATGGGCAGGCAGTGTCATCTTGGACCGTTCCTCGTTGGCTGTCCGATGCCATGCAAGCCGCTCTTTGGACTTCAACAAGCCATCTCTTGGGGCACTGTGAGCCGTTGTTTTCGTGCTAGGGTATAAGGGAAAGAAGCTCATTGGACAAGATACTGCAGGTTCCGGCCCGGCCAGCTGCGAGGGTTGCTCTCTTAGCCAACAAAGCACGGCCAGCTGTCTGTACATGAATCCAATTCAGAACGGACCAGGCAAGCCTCGTAGTGCTTCAACACTTATCGAGACGTGGTGAACACCCTTCCAGGTCTGGTGATCGGGTCGGGTGATTACGAGTACGAGAAGCCCTATGGCGTCCGAATAGCCAACCATGGTCCAATCCACGGAGACTTGTATGCCCGATCCGCAAGTCCATCGCCAAGGAGCTTCCCAATGAGGCAACAGCGCTGACACCGGGTACTTGATATCGAGGTCGGCAATGATATATTTCCCTCCTCCACGTTTCCCTGTGCCTGTCTGCATGGCAAAGAGCATGTTCAAGGCAACAGAATCGGGTATGCAGTCTTGATCTAAGCCGGGAAGCTTTGTGCCCAGTTGAGAGAGCTCCCTGATTTTTGGCTCTCACAGCCACGCGGTCGTCTTTAGCCCTATGGAGGATGTCTGGAAAGTACTGCATATGTTCACTGCTTCCTCAGGCCGTTCTTGATCATAGACCTGGAAATGCTGTTAGCGATTATACTGTCACTCACTTCATGGCACAACCGTGAACGTTTCTTTGACAGTTTATACCTGATCGCTTCCCAGATCGTTGAACGAAAGCCTACATATGTTCTTCAAAACGGTTGTTTACCACTGTTGCTGTTCAGCTTGACTGCACAGTGAATTATAATGCTGTGGTCGTTTAGTAGGGTAAGGGCGTCAGCTGGTCACACTACCAAACGACGACATCATCACGACACACCCCACCGTCGCGACCTCACCGTTTGCGCGCTGTGGTTAAACCCTTCCTTCTCATCTACCTTTCACTTCCATCTTCAACCTCATCACACATCAAGTCTTCATCTAACTTCTACACACAACCTCTACCGCCTTGACTAGACATCGAAGGGCTTACTTGCAAATCAACATCTGAAGTCATGGACCAACCTGGAGGGCTTGCTTCCACTCAAGTTGAAGCGCAGAATGCAGCTGCTCTTCAACTGGCTATCAAGCAGTCTCTGAAACAGGCAGCTCTAGAGCGCGAGCTTGAGGCAATCAGCGAGCAATTCAGTCAGCCCTGCTACAATACCAAACTTCAAAAGACTGAACCGTATCACAATGCTTTCCTCAGAAACCTCTTTGGCATCAGGTACATTTCTGGAGAACGAGAGAAGTTTCAGTTCGAGTTAGATCGCAGCGTCATCAATATTCTCACCAAACTTCGTCAAAAGACCTTCATGTCAGCGGAATTTGCGGAGAAAACTCACATCGAATTAATCCTCCAACGCATTGGTCAAGACCGCTACTGTTTCTCTGCTGTTGCTAGAGGCATTGCTCAAGGTTTACACCACCGATTTGCCGGACAGAACTGGGGCAGAAACGCTGTACAGCCTGCTCAAGCTACTCCAGCTACTCCAGCTACTCCAGCCGCGTCAGATGAGGCAAAGAAGCCTAAACGCAAGCGTGATGCATCATCTCCATCCGCCAAATCTCAAAAAGAGCCAAAGCAGAAGAAGTCCGTCGACGAAATTCACATCACCAAACCTATCCCTGCAGACGACGACCCAATCTTTGGCCTAAACGGTCCTATGCGCGGTACACTCATCAAGTACAACACCGTCGACCCTCAAAACGTCGCCAAGTCCATCGTCCTGAATCCAAACATTACCCAAACCAGCTCGAAGGTGTTCGGACACAATGGCATCCGCATGGGGCAATTCTTCCCTCGCCAGATGGCTGCCCTGGCTCAAGGTGCTCATGGCTCTTCCCAGGCTGGGATCTCTGGTACCGCCGAAGATGGTGCCTACTCCGTCATCGTCACAGGCAAGTACAGCAGCCTTGAGAAGGACGGGCTCGACAAGTTCGAGTATTGTGCAACTGGCTCGATGGAAAACACGTTCAAGGACTCCTTGATCGAGAGTCAAGGCCTCAAGACCATGAGGAGGTCCCTGATGACAAAGAAGCCTGTTCGCGTCCTGCGTGGCGAGAACACTGAGTTCCGCTACGCACCAAAGGTCGGTCTCCGATACGACGGCCTCTACACCGTGGCGAAGGAGGAGCAGAGGGTGAATGGGAAGGGGGGGGTGTATGCGGTGTTCGTGTTGGAGCAGGTGGAGGGACAGGCGCCGGTCGACTTGAGTCGACCAAATGCGGGAGATATTGCGCTGTTCGGGGAGCTGAAGGAGAGACTTGCCTGATAGGGGGTGAGAGCTTGGCGTGAGCTGTTTCGGAGCTTCTTTTCTTTTCTTGCTGTAAATACATCACCGGCGCCCCCCGAGTGGGCAGACCTCGCTTGCTTTTTTCACGATTCGTGAAAAGTAGATAAAAAATGAAAATGAAATCAAAATTTCCATCTCACCCTTACCTCCTAAATTTCAGTTCCACGGTGCCCTTCTCGATAGATGAACTTGACAACTGTGGATTTTGGGGCCAATTCAGATCCCAGTATTACGGTGACCACCTGGTCATTCAATTCGAAGGATTTGACAAAAAAAATTATTTGAGGATTCAGTTTACCATAATCCTCCAGGGTCGCCCAGGTATTTCTTTGGATGGACTTCACCTACTTCTAGAATTCTACTTCTCTTTAGTCTCGTTTGTAAGACACGTTCCTTTGTTATCACGCTCAGGAGTTCGTCGGCTAGTTTTCCAAATTATTATTGTTGATTAAGTTTGGATCTTTTGATGGTTTCAAAATACATCAAAATTGGCTTAAAGAGATCGCTGATATGCTGTTTCGAAACTGTATTAAATATAGATGTGTGCTTCCTGCTGCACTTTTATAGATAAATTACTAACAAGATATCCCCTGACGTCCTCCTCATACACTAATGAACTTTAACAATCTAGATAAACAAAATCCACCATTCAAACCATCGCAAACCCTGAAGACCTCCCTTGTACAACGTCAAATCTATGGAAGAATGCTTCGTAACCCCGTAAAACTGAGTCCGGAGCCCGCCAAATGCATAGCCTTTTCCCCATATATACTTTTCGTTCCATGTAATTTTTCAATTCCTCCCTAACAACTTCCCAATACAGTTCCCCAACAAGATCGCTGCTTCCTGCGTCAACTCCCACCTTGTCGCCTTGAGACTATCACTCAACACCATCAGCAAGCCCAAACACTGATTTCTGCCCTGTACAAACTCTAGCTCTTCAGGCCCCCTGACCTGGCCAACCCGGTCGAGGAAGGCTTTCATATCCCTCTCCTTCTGCTCGGTGGTCACAAAAGCCGCTTCAGATGGCTGAGGCGACAGCGGTCCGTCGAGCGCGAAGCCATAAGACCATACCACTAGGGCCGAGAAATAGAGGACCCACGGTCGATTGAGCAAGAAGTCGTCACGGGCTTGGTAGTGATTGTGTTCGTCCAGAGCGTGGGGAAGAATGGTAACGCCACCTGCTTCTTCGTTCGGTGGGACGAGGACTTGGATAAGAAATTTGAGGGCGTGAAAGGCAGCCTCGCGTGCGCTGGCAGTTCGCGCCCAGCGGTTGATCATTTTCTCTCGGACGTGGCTATAGTCTTTTATGCCGATGGGTCTGCCGAGGAGCCGTCGGGTTCCAGCAAAGATTTGGCAGTCGCAGATGTCGACGAAGGATGCCATGTGGGCGAGGTGGTGGAGCACGGTTCGGGATTCAAAGAGGTTATCATCGTCGATGTGGCGGAGAGCGAAGGATCCGGACACGCCTGTGGCATGGTTGTTTAAAGGGTATGCTTCGGCTAAGGCGTCATCGAAGTCTTTCTTCCAGTTGTCGAAGGCGCGGAGAAGGATACGACGCCATTTACTGCTCGGTCCAGATGCCTGGGGGTTCTGCGCACTGAGGGCTGTGATCTGAAGGTCGAGCTGGTTGAGAAGGTAGTTGACGGAAAGAAGGCCAGACATGAGCACGGTCCGGCCGAACGAGTTGGTTCTCACCCGCTCGCCATTCAACGTTTTCTTCAACCCATCTAAAAACATGGTGGGCTTGATGCCGTTAGTTTGATGCGAGGACTGAACACGTGCGACTTCTGCTGCTGAGGTTGCAGACCACAGGGCCTCATCGCAGGGTAGGGGCAAACGGATCTCGTAGGCGACCATTTTGGCCGAGTGGCCAAACATTGTTGCGTGTATTGAGTCAATGACAAAAGCAGCAAAGGCAATACGACGAGTAGCCTCGTTACGGACCCAGTGCGACCATGATTCATCAGATGCAACACCATCTGACGCAGATACTGAACCTGATGACCTTGCTGTTCTGCCGTCACGCTGGCTGCCGGGGGACTCATTCGCACTTCTGCCAATGAATGATGTGCCTCGCCTCATAAGCGTCAAGGTAGTGTCATGATTGATATGCGCCCGCTCGTGTAAAGCACGCGTCGAGTACATTTTTTCGTAGATCTCGAGCAGGATAAGAGTCTGAAAGACCCAGAGCTTAGCAGGTGGACGGTATCCTTCATCGCGTACAATTTCCCACCGCACGTGCCAGGCTATGAAGTTGGCAAATTCTGCGGCATCGTCTGTCAATGTGTTTCCATACGCTTTATCAAGAGTGGCAGCTCCTATCGCTATCACAACCAGAAGTAAGAGGTTCGGAGTTTTATCAGCAGAGAATGTAGGCTTGTGGAGTATCGGTAACTGAGCATGCTGGTGGAAGAAATACGATCCAATGTACGAATGAAGCATCCGGAGACTGAGAATGTGGCCATGGGCATCGATGTCACCGTCAAAGACGACAGCTTTAGGTCTCTTCACAGCATCGTGTTCTTTTTCCTGGAATTGGTATCTTATCAACTCAAGAATCTCGTGCCGTTTCTCCTCAGACATGATTGAACGTGTAGGCGTCGTGGAGTCCAGAATGCTCATTACGCTCATTGGATCTTGTGGTTGAACGTTGGGAGGGTAATAGCTTCCAAAATGGTCGTCTGCACAGAAAGGGCCTTGAATTTGGGTCGTTGCTATATCGACGTAGCCAGGCATAATGCCCGAGGCCGGTGTCATGTCAGACATAGCTAGTGGGTTCTCGTTAAACAGCCATGGAAAAAATCCTGCTTCTCTTGCCACAGGTGATCGATTGTACTCATCTCCATTGAATATAGGGTACGTAAACCCTGCAGTGAGGTCCATGTTTGGATCATCTCCAGTGACTGCATATTGAGCCGCAGACATTGGATCAAGTGCGCTCAAGCCCCGGGCGACTGCATTAGCAATCGAGGTAGTTGAAGTTTGTGCAGTGTCGACCCCAGTAAAGCCTACTGGGGTAGAGAGGTGGGGATCGGGTTCTGTAATCAAAGTGTCCGTAGAGTGAACCGAATGACTCAGGGGCCTCATTGGTGGTCGAAATTGAGACGATACAGGGTGCACGGAGCCTGGACCATCTGCTGAATGGAACGGATTCTGCCGGTGCGCTGTAGGCGAGACGGGTGTTGTTCTGAAAGGCGGGTCATGAACATTGGAGAGGTTCGTTCGCGGGTCTACGGTGTAGCTCAGATCCAACGGTTGCTTTTGCTGCGGGCTAAGAAGGTAGCTTGTAGGGCTGCTGCTGTGTTTTGCGTAAAGTTCCGAACCTGGAATCGCCGTATGAGGCCTTGCTGGTGGATAGCGCGATTCCATCGACACGGACGATGTGGAAGTCATAGGAACTGATTTGCGACCATGTTCGAGAGATGTTGCAGTGAGCTCTCCCAGCACCGATGCAGGATCGTCCTTGCCCACAGTAGAGGAGGTAATCACAGATGGTATTGACACATCGGATGCCGTCCTTTGGTTATCAGAAGCCGAAGATGAGAGCTTTCTGTGAGCCCCAGCAGCATGGGCTTGTGCGGAGGCATCGCGCTTCTGCAATTGCGAGCCTTGACTGCTGTGCCGTTCCTGATGACGAACACGAAGATCCTGCCGAACAAATTTTCGAGTGCAGCCTGGATACTGACATTCATAGATCGTCTGTCTTTCATCTAAATAGAATGTTAGGATCTTCACTTGAGTATCAGGGAACTTTCTTTCCTACGGTTAAGCTGGTGGCGATACAAATGCTCTGCTCTCGAATACGTCCTTCCACATTCTTTACAATCATATTTTTTTTCCGCATTCGCCTTCGCTTTTCTCCTTCGTTTCGATGGTCCAAGCGGCTGCTCCCTAAGATCATCCATCGCTGTCTGCATTCATTATCTTATCTGTAGGGGCAGCCTTGTTTGGTCTGTCACTGTGGGGGCGGACCTCTAGTGTGCTCGATTAGCTTACTTGAACTGTCCCGGTCACATGAAGAATGGAAGGGTGAGCCAATTCAGCCAATACCACGAAGAGAGTCGAAGAAGACGTTCACGAAGCTGTCGAGGGACATCTGATCGCATTGGCAAGGAAGTCTGTCCGAGTATCTCGTCTCCCGACCCCGAGCATCTAGCTGGTAGTGATACTCCTGTGAGCTAGGTGCCCTAAGACAAAAGATGTGACAGAAGACTGTTTATCGCAGTTGAACAAGTGCGGCATATGCAGAAATTCGATGCATGAGATGCTGGCTACCTTTTAGAACGCAGGAACCGAAGAAGCAGGCAGGACACCTGTTCGACTTGAGGGTGTTCCCCAAAAAAATTCCGAGCTTTTTCCCAGTATTTGATGGCCTTTGCCGGATTCACACGACTTGACGGGTTCAGAGCACTCTTTTGTTGTCACAGCGGTGGCAATGCGGCAACGTTGGAGAAACATTCGAGACTGTGCAGCCGGTATACCTGTTTCGAACTTCAATCGCTCGACATGCAATCAACAAACTGTACGAAGGGCATACATGTGGAGACACCTGATTCGATGCGGGTGGAGACTCGATCGAATCCTCGGAACCGGGAGAGAGCAGGTAGGGAGTTGCACAGGTAAGATGTGTGGAGAGAAGGAACAGGTGGGGATAGCCGCATGAACAACTTGGGCTAAGGTACGGTGGTCTCCATTGTTCTAGTCAGGCCACTCGGCGGCTTGCTGCTAACTTAAGTTTAACTATCTGCTCGAGCGAGTGAGGTTTTCCGGTTTAACTACCCGAAAGGGTAGAGCTCTCAGGCTCGCCCGAGCTTAGTCGGTGGGAGCAAAACTGTAATTGCGCATAAGATTCAATGTCTAGTGCGTTGAAGCAGACCTGTGGAATATAAGAGGCATGCCACACTGCTCAACATTTGCAGTGTTTGAATGTATCAGAGAGCGCGTCCATCGTCCTACATGAGTAGGCGACAGATGACGACCAGAAGCATTACCCTTTGGTTTCACTGTTCTACGTCGATTGATCTATGGTATACCATCGATGTTGTCAAAGACCTCCAACCTTCTCCCAAAGACGCCATGATGGCAGTAAGGTCCTGCAAAGCCCGGCAGATTGTGCGTTGTAGCAAGACCTCATCCCGGCCGAAAGTAGCTATACCTGGAACATATTGTGTTCATGAACCTCTACTCTGATAGCAGTGCGGGCGGTTGTGTCTTCGCTACCTACGATAGTAGACGATTCGACATTCAGATTCAGGATTTCCTGGACTGCTTTGAAAGCCTTATTTGGATATGGCAATCACACCTGGTAGATTTGTGGTTTGAAAATTGGCAGATTCCTTGTGACCTACCTTGGATGAAAGTTGATGCCGGCTGATTGCAGTAATCGTCATTTCAACGTAGTATTGAGGACCTAATACTATGACTGTATGCTTGATGCTCTTAATGATCGTGAATGCTGCGCCTTCAGCTAACAGGTAAAGTCGTGTCGGAGCGTTGCCGGAATGCACTAGCACCGCTAAGTTTCGAGGACTTTTGACGTGCCAATTTGGCACGCATAATGGTACGCTCGAACTTCGACCATGATTGCAAGTCTCGCTACCTTCCTCTCTCGAAATTTTACCCGGAAAAGCGAAATCTCATTGCCTCGAGTCGTCCGAGACCTTCCCTAGGAGCAACATTCCTTCTTCGATAGGCGTTAGTGAAATCTTGCAATAGTACACGAACCTTTCGCATTTCGCCCTTCTGGATCTTCTCGGAAATTCCCTTCATAAGCCTGTTGCTTTCTCCTGCTTTCAGGCTGCCAGTTGGGAGCAGCTGCAAGGTCGATTGCACCCATTCCGCAGACTGCTGCGGCATGAGGCCAAACGAGGCAAGCAGTATGGCGGAAGCATCGGGGAAACACTCCTCAGGAAAGCTGAACATCATACCGGTAAGGATTCTCTGCACCAATAGCGGACCAAGAGACACCAAGAGCTGTTTGACCGCGGTCTGTACCTCTGGCGGATTGCTGAGCGGCTTCCCGTCTGATCCGTTGAATTCCGAAATAGGTGGCTTCTCCCCAGCAAAGCTCAAAATATCACGAATAAAATGCAACGCCGCTATCAGGGGGTCTATCTGTTGCAATGACAATGCAGATATTGCGGCTTCGAACGTAGGTGTGGCTAACGACGAACAGATGGTTTTAGTCGGGTAGAATCGGACCGCATCTGTTGCTAATCGGAAAAAGTCCTCGATGACATCAGGCAACTCATCCGGTGACAGCTCGTTAAGAATTCTGAGGAACACAACCACTTGCTGCTCGTAGAATTGATATACAGCCTCGCTGGTGTTGTGATCGACGTACTCAGCCCCTTCAGAGAACTCTCGAATGATGGCATCCGTAGCCCACAGAAAGCAGCCTTGCCGTGATGCTTGGAATCCGTGGGCAAGATTTTGTGCTAGAGTTGGTAAGAGCGGTGCCATGGCGATTCGGTAAGAGATAACCATATAGCGCCAGCTACGGCACACTCGTTCCAGGATAGGGGATGATTTAGGGAAGTTGGTCGCAATCATGGCCAGCGGCGGCAGTATCTCCTGGCAGTATTTCACAGCAGGATTTGGCTCAGATGGCGCGACGTACGGTGAGACCAACTGGACAAAGATGGTGATAAGCTGAAGATAATCTGCAACGGCTTTCTGTCTCACATCGTCCATAGCATTCTGTGCTAGAGACATGATGCGTCTCATGACAGGATCACAGAACATCTTCAACGATTCATATATCTTTTCCATTGGCTGAACAGCGACAATGGCCGCCACGCCTTCCGTGACTTCTTCCTGGCTGGTCGGTTTCAGTTTGTCTAGGACTCCTTCGTAAAATTGGTGTAGCTGGACGATATGGCCGCCTAAAAGTCTGTGGCAGTCGGTACCAAGGAATTTGAAGGCCAGTGCAGCAGCTTGCACAACTTCCTGTGATTTATGGTTGAAGCCAGATATGACATAGTTCAATTGCGCCTCTAGGGTCTCTGGGTGCTGACTCGTCCATTCAGTATATCGGCCCAAAGCCATTATTGCCTGAAACTTGAGCTTCTCATGTTCAGGGATTGTGACGATCAGCGGCACGACTCGAGGCAAGACAGTACTTTCCTCTGGGTCGACCATACGCCCCATTGCCCGTAAGCTGAACAATGGCGCCTCCAACTGCTGCCAGTGAGGTACCTTCTCATCCGTCGCTTGCGATGCGTATCTTTGGGCCCAGCCTTGAATGAGGTTATAAGCCTTACTCAGACACTCTGTTATGCCAATGACTTCACAGCAGTCCTTTAGGACATCACCCATGGCATGTCTGAATTCACGGAACTTCTCCTCCTGTTCACGATCACCATCAAATAGATCGGCATTGTCACCGTTGTCTGGGGTAGGAAATTCGAGATGCTTGATCATGATATCAACAAGCTGCGAAAAAAGGTCTGCAAGCGAGGTTCGCGCATCTGCGTATTTGTCAAGGGTCAGGTACTGTTTCAATTCGTACCAAAAGATGAAGGTGAGCGAAATAGCGTCTCGGTCATTGTCTCGCATGCAGCATTCCAGCACAGCTTCGACAAGGCTTCTGAAGTTGCCCGGAAGTCGCGCGATCAGCACAACCCATGCTTCACCGGCTTCGGCGAAAAGCCTCGTCACACCTTTCATTAGATCGGTATCTTCAGTCTCAGCTGCCTCGAGTATCTTAGGTCTTAAGGCAATTATTTTTGGGTATAGCGTTTGAATGACGCCCATGGTCTCGTCAACATCCCGCGTGTCTCGATAGATATTGCACATGCAGTCGACAGCCATCTCAAAAGATGTGTCGTTACCAAGTGCCGCAATCATGGTGTCTAGAAGAGGCGAGTTTACAACGTCTGCTGCGGGGATCTCCCTCAGCCATGAGCTGATGCAGTCGAAGAGCCGAGGATTGACAGCAGCATCAGCTTTAAATGACATCAGCTTTTGCACTAGCAGATTAGGGGAACATACTTACATGAAGATTGAGCGTACGATATCAAGAGGTTCAGCACTTGTGTTGAGTTCTGCTCCAGTAGTTCCTGAGACCTGTTGGACAACTCCTCTTCCTATATCACCAGGGTGCATTAGAATCTGATATGGTGCCATTCGATCGCGGGAAAGTAGCCGTAACCGGAACATCAATAAGCCGGACATACTGTCATGTTGATCTTTCGTCCCTCAGTAACCTCTTCTGGAAGAATGCGAAGAAATTCGAGCAAGGCGTCTCCACCACCTTTGCTGCCTTGCACGGCATTGCCAATCATTGGCAAGACATCTTTCCAAGAAGTGTATTGGATGGCTAGGCTTGCTAGACAGACGCAGATTTGGGTTCGGATGGGTCGCGGCCCGTCACTGTAGAGCTGGAGAAGTGAAATAAGAGAATCTCGAAGGGGTGCGAGAGCTTCGTTAGGAAGCTGGTCTAAGTCGTAAATTATCTGGCCCATAAAGGTGAGTAATGACGCGAAGCACATGGCACTGACAGTAGCACTACGTACTTTCCCTTTCAAAGTTGTCGCTGCAAACAACTTCGCCTCAACAGTAGCACCCGTAGATTGTAATATCTTGTGGGTAACGTTCCATGCGTCCGACTATCTTATGCTTCAGTCTCTGCCAAATGAAAGGTTGATGATGTCGCATACCGATTTCTGGAATTTTTCCAGGTACTCGTGGGCCTGAACTTTCTGCGGGCGAGAAGAATTGCTTTGCATAGTGCTGAGTGCTGAGAGCACAGGCGCAAAAGCTTCCGAGGCCTGTTGACTTGAAGCCATGGTGAAGTGCGTAGGACGAGTGATTGTAGTGGGAATGGCAGAAGAAACGTCTTCCAGATTCAGAAGACGTCTGGCTCAAGACCATATAAGCTACGCTGATGGTAAGGTTAAAACACTTCAAGAAAGCGAAGTCAGACGAAACTGAAGAACGTGGGGTAGGCGTGTATGCTAGGGTGAAGTTCTTAGGGAAATGTGTAATGGTGCTTGACGCTCTTTGGGTAACTTCAAATGCAACCAGCTGCCAAGCTCCGGAGCGCAATACATGCGGTTTTGCGCACCAAACTTACATTACATACAGACTGCTCGCCAACGTTGGTGGCATTTATTACTGGTGCCGTTCTACAGCTGGAAGTCATCCGAAGACATCGACCCTACATTCACCCAGCTAATTGTATTTGAAAAAGAGACAAGCACTGCTCCCCCCCCAAGGAGTACTTCCTATTCTTGGTGCCAGGCTCGAACTTTACAACACAAAACGCGACAGAACAAAGGCTCATCAATATCGCGCACAAGTTATATACTTTAGAGCATTATGAATCGCGGCAGCGGGGGTGGCGGACGCAAGACTTTATTGGCACCAATCCACTTCATCTTCAAGCTCCTGCAGCAGAGGTCGACAGTCTCTATCTGGCTTTATGAGCAGTTAGCCGTGCGGATAGAGGGCAAAATCCGGGTAAGCATGCGAGTAGAGCCCTGGATATAAATAGATTGCTGATGAACTATAGGGGTTTGACGAATTTATGAATCTTGTCATCGACGATGCCGTGGAGGTTCAACAGGCGACCAAAAACCAGCAAGAACGGAGGCGACAGCTGGGTTTGTTTTCTATGCTACAAAAGTCGGGCAACGCTGATCACTTCTAGGGCAAATACTGCTTAAGGGCGACAACGTGTCCCTTATACAGGCTGTACAATGAAGCTACGCCCAGCATTAAGGTCCGCATGATGCTGTGATGGGGCACTTATTCAGGACTGCGATGGTCACAAATATCAAGACATGCACGAACCCCCAGCACGATAATTCGCGTTGCAAAATGCCCTAGGAGCCGGTAATGATCTGATCTACTCTCCAATCATCCGTGCTCGTGGGAACAGTGGTATCTGGCGGCAAGAGCTGCTGCTTCAGAGCAAGACCAACTGCAGCGAGCAAATCAGCAAATTGCAAAACTTATCGAATAGATACCATACTGAGACGTGGCATTTTTGCATTGATGTTATTTCGAGAAGCCGCTTCCCAATAACTTTGCAAAAACTGGTCATAGAAGCCTTTTCCATGACCCAGCCTTCCTCCGGAGTGGTCAAACGCCACTCCTGGAAGCAGGACCATATCTAGACCTTCGAATATATCTTTGTTCTCCCCATCATTTCCTTCTATAGGTCCCAACCCTCCTAATGCATTTTCTCGGCGCTGGAGAGAGGCTCTACCGAGCGTTGGAATACCCCAAGCGTCAGGTTGCAGGCTGTCAAGATCTTCTTGTGAGTGCAATGCGAACATTTCCATGTAACTACGTGACTTGGTGGATTCGGAAAGCTTCTGGATGTAAGGAACAAACACTCGCTTGCCCTGACTAAGTGCTTCCCTGACAATGTTGGCAGTACAGAGCTCTGCCTTGGGCATTGACAGATACACGCTAATCCTTGTTGCGTGTCCAAACTCTGGTAACTTGAGCACCTGATCTGTTACCTCCTTCGCTTCACGCACATGTCAGATCAAGCAACTGCTAATTGTCGAGTCAGAGCATACATTGACGTCCGATCTCTGTGGGTGAGATTCCTGAAATTTGGTCCTTGATATGTTTACGTAGTGCCTTCTTTGCCTGGAACGTAGGAGATGCCGATGCCATCCTTCGATCTTGTATGGGAACACGTCCAATCAAGGAGAGCAATCTCATAACTCAACGTGACACTGGGAGTTCATGAGCTATTTGCGTCACTGTGGTCCATTCTACTCTGTCCTGGCAACAAAATACGAGTCGGTCAGTGACAAACTTGGAGTACTAGGGTTTGCTCAGAGTCACCACTGTCAAGTTGATGTTGCCCAGGGATCTTCCTTGGCAACGTCGAGGGTCAATTTATGCGCCACAGTAGTGATTCCATGCGCTACTAGTGGGTGACCTTTATTCTCTCCTTTTGCAAATCCGCCGCGCAGTCCGAACACAATCCACGTCTTCCGTTTAGTACATACTCCAAGCATGAGCCCTGGCATACCTACAATCGCTCTTTTGGGCTTGACTGTGATCAACTCGTGTACCGCCCAACTGATCGACCCAAACCTTGTAGGAACGTGGACCACCAAAAGCAAGGCAGTCTTCACTGGCCCAGGATTTTACAATCCAGTGACGGACAAGCTGACCGAGCCAAATCATCCTGGAATTTCTTATTCTTTCACTGAGGACGGCCACTATGAAGAAGCCTACTACAGGGCCATTTCGAATCGTTAGTTGTTCACCAAGCCTAGGAGCGAACAACAAAACTGATGGTAATACAGCTACGCAACCTGCCTGCCCGTCTGCAATTCTCCAATGGCAACACGGGACCTATACCCTCGAAGCTAACGGCTCGCTTCTTCTAAAGCCCTTCGAAGTCGACGGGCGGCAAGTAATGTCGAGTCCTTGTTCCTACGATGAATCTATTTATACGCGGTACAAGAATCCAGAAATGATAAAGGTATGGGACACAAACCATCTATACCAGATAGTGATGCTGAATCCTATTGTCAGAGGTACCAAGTCGGCCCCGATCCATTCCACAATGTCCAACGACTTGATCTGTTTCGATTTGACGGCTCTCCTATGCATCCAATGTTTCTAGCCTACAACCCACCTCAAATGCTACCAACCTCGACGCTAAATCCTACGGCCACTTCAACCGCGCCAGCTAGAAACCCCACCAGCAAGAGCCGCGTTAAGCGTACAATTGATGATGAAACTGGCGAGACAATTGAGCCTCTCAACAAAAAGGCGATTTTGACACCAACTGAACCGTTTAGCGCTGACAGATGGTGGTGGGTGGGCGTTGGTCTGACAGCAGTTGGCACTATACTTTACATGTATCCGTCTTCATAATCTGTACAAAAGAATCAAATCAAGACGTACTGGCGGCATTGGCAGGCGTACGGGCTTTTTTTAAAGGCTTCTGGTTACTCGGGATGGTGACCGTCGGACGAACTTGTGGAATTGATTATCATGATTCATCGTTCAGGCCCTTCTGGCCCAATGCTAAGTTCCATGAAGTGGACATGGATATGCTAGCTGGCCGATTCGTTACCATATTTGCAAGAGATTTGAACTCTTTCCTTAAATGCTAGAAAATTGCTTCATATCGGACTCTCTTGCAGGATCATTTACAAGGTGGAACACACTTTCAGCTGACACCTTGTCACCCTAGCCTACATACTTAATTCCTTTCCATTCACCTGCTTTAGTTTCAATTTCTCGATTTCTATACCTTCAAGCGTCCGGACCTAGTTCCATACAGAGAAGTGTATTAGTCTTTCAGTCCATAACGTGCAGGCTGCTGGAGGTAGTTTCCAGGGCCCGCATCCAAACCTCCACCAATGCACCCGCAAATTCCAAGGACGCAAACATTGGCAACTTACGTTGAGTGCCGCCACATCCTCGAAAAACCCGGGCGTGTCGCTTATGCCGCAGATGCTGGTACCACACTCCGGGCAGAAGCGGTGTCCGATCCTCTTGGAGCCGAAGTAATACTTTTTCAGGCTATCTTTACCGGATTGCCAGGTTATGTCACTCGATTTTGGGTAGATCATGAGGTAGCCGTTGCGTTGGCAGATGGAACCTGTATTTGAAAAGGGAATTCAGTGTGAGCTAGTTAGGGTGGTTGAAGTTGTGAAATGGAGGGGGATGGTCATGTTCTTCGATAAAGGAAAAAGGAAGCCCAAGATATCTGTGTCTAGACACATATCTGGCAGTATTTGGCCGGAAAGTGGTAGGTGCTAAGTGCTTGATGGTAGCAGAGAGTTGGGGTTGGCACATACAATTACAGGACGTGATATCTTGCTCGTAAAGGGAAGTGCGTATATTCAACGTAAATTTTATGTCACCGCAATGGCACGATCCATTCCACGTCTCTACAGGCACCTTGGAGTCTGGTTCAGAGCTCATGACAGGCATTTGAGAAGATAAAGGGAAACGAGAGTGTGAACTGCATACAGGAAATATTTAAATAGCTATGAGATCTGAGATGAAGGAATTGCTTAATTAGTCATCATTGCTCCGATATTTCCTTGTTCATAATACTACTCGAGTAACTGTCAAACTCTAAACATTCTTCGTAGTGTTGACTGTTTAGGCAAGTGGTCCCACTCGATTGGACAATATCATCGTTTCTCCTCAAGGCTGAAATAGGTCAATGTGCACCAATCTATAAACTTTAGCGGCCTCCCTTCCTTCTGCGTATCCGGTACCCGTATTGTGAACCTCTTGCGAGCTTTGGATAACACCCATACGCGGTGCGGTACGGCATTCACGTGGTGAGCCATGGAATGTTGCGGTGGCTCGTCTGCTCACCTGCTCACCTGACATGCCACTGGCTGCCTTGTCGCGGCGTTTTCTCGTATGTCGTAAAGGCGGATGTCAATCGCCAAGGTTGAATTGCCGAGCTTCGCGAAAGTCTTTCCCTGTCTCACGTCTTGGATTGAAGGATCTCCTGTACCATCTTGGCTACTCGTGACCCATCCACTGCTTTCCCGTTGAGCAGGCCCCCAGGACGTAGGAGTTCTTTTAGCATCATTCCGGCGTTCAATTTCGCCGTATCCTTGAGAGCTTGGTACGCTTGCTCAACTGCCGTCGCAATATCTTCCTCTGCGACTGTCTCAACTTGACCAGCGTACTCGTCCATGACAGCAATCTCCTCATCTTGCTTTGCTTTCAGATCGTCCCGTTTGGCTTGCGCAAATTCCTCAGATGCTGCCTTCGATCCGGCTAACCTTTTCCTGAGCAAAGCAAGCACTTGTACGTCTGTCTTTACTGGAGAAGGCCCCTTCGAGGCATTGGTCGCGTCTGACAGGATGGCTCGAAGAACATTCAACCTAACATGGTCTGTAAGCCCTGATATGTTCCCGAGGGTATGGGATTGACCTTGACTTGTCCTTCGCTCTCATAGCACTTTTTAAGTCGTTTCTGATTTTGGCGAGCAATGGAGGAGTTGGTTCGGAGGTGGAAGAAGTATGCCGTATAACGCGCAAAGCAAGGCATTTTGGCTGCCTTATGCAGCGAAGCATAGCTGCTGCTAGGAACACTCTGATTATTGGACACTTCTGTTCGCTCAATCAATCACTATATAAGCAGGTAGAACCAAAACCAAATCAGTAATGATGGGATTGATAAAATTTTGGAGCATTGGAAAGCTTCTCCAAATCTGTCTGGAAGTGGTCTGTGCGCGTCGCGTCCAGGCGCATCAAGGAAATATCGTTGCTGGTCAATAACAGCACAATAATCGCATGGGAGTGATTCCACAACCAAAGCAGTATTGCCCGCGATCGCTTCTGCAACTCCCCATCCCAGCCAGTATGACGAATAAGCTCTAATAAAAGTTGGGGGTACATACTCGAAGTTTCGTGGTTGGTGTTGAAGGGAGAGGACCTGGCATCATGGAGACACCCTCAAGACCAAGTCTTCCGGGGACTTGGTTGCAGACTCCAGCCATTAAGCCTCCTGCAGCGGCACCATCCTTTTCTACCTCGATCACCCATGACGGTGGCCTAGCTTATTCCCAAAGCCCTTCGCAGCCAACGAACATGGGCCTCATGCAAGCCGACCAGAATTCTGCAATACAGCAACAGTCCGCTACCGATTCAAGCCGATCTTCAAAGAACATAAACCTGGATGAGCGTGCTGCGCGTGCTGTTAATGAAGCTTTGGAGAGCGAGTCTAGATTTCCAGATTTAGACGGCTATCTTTCTCGTATGTGAAATACTGTTCTCGCGTTGCCTTCGAATAACTGATGCTGAATATAGATGGCTACTCTTATGAGTATGACTTACAATCCTCTGCACCCTGGGCGCCGTTCCAGAAAGTCCGGGTACACAATATTCCTGACCAGATATTTGAGCAGTATAACAAAGCGACAGCATCAACGAGCATGGGACTATTTGCACAAATAAACCACGCCTGGGTCACGATTGACAATGCTCTTTATATGTGGGATTTCACAGTGCCAAACCCACAATTGTTAGGCTATGAAGGGCAGTCCAGTCTCATCACAGCCGTCAAGCTAGCAAGACCTCGTGCAGGTGTCTTTCTTCCTTCTATCACCCATGTCGTGGTGCTGGCCACAATCTCTGAAGTCATGCTCCTGGGTTTAGGTTCGGAGGACGGCTCAGAAAGACCTGGCGCACTTTCTCTTTTTCAGACTGGAATATCAGTTTCCGTCAAAGGTAAAGATATCAATGCTATTGCCTCATCGGCAAAAAATGGCAGATTGTTCTTTGCAGGTCGCACCGAAAATGAACTTTACGAGCTCAAATACTATCGAGATGAGAGGTGGTTTTCCCGTCGCGTCGCGAGAATATGTCAGTCGTCCAGTTATCTGTCATATTTCGTTCCTCCAATTAGCTTGGGAACAAAGACCGTCGTCTTTGTGGAGCAGATCGTCGTAGACGATACCAGAGACTTAGTGTATACTCTGTCCTCTGATTCTTCAATAAGGGTATTTTATATGGCAACTGGAGGAGGACTTACCCTTGCTCTTACCCGCTCTGCTGCAGAGATCTACTCAAGTGTTGCTCACATCATTACACCCAATGGGACTTTACACGCGAGAGTGAAAATCGTTTCCATTTCTGCAATATCAGCACAAGAAGCTGCAAAGTTCCATTTGGTTGCCACTACATCCACTGGGTATCGTATCTATCTCAGTGCCACTAGCGAACCAACATGGGGCTCTTCAACCAGTCGTGCACCGATGAATATGCAAGCGCAGCACGTAAAGGTGCCGCCTGTGCAGTCTTCACCGGAGATCAGCGAGCAAAACTTCAGTGTGAATGCACCAATCCGTTCATTGATAACAACAAGGCAAGCGGCAAGATATGCTCCAGGATATTTCTTTTGCTTCTACTCCAGCAACCCCAACCAAACCACCGATGCCCTCTTTATCTCATCTCCTGATCCAGCTCGCCTAGCTAGACCTCCTGAGGTTGGTCAGCCCAGCCGTTCGGCCGAATCAGCAGTCTGGGTGCGCTTAGGGAGCCGTGCAGAGGACATTGGTGAATGTACGCCATATCATCCTCCTAAGGAAACCCCAATTGGTTTTGGAAACGAGCTTGCTGTTCAATTTGACGCGCCTGCTCCAGAAGTGGCTATTTTGACCAACACTGGAATACACATATTGCGACGTCGACGGTTGGTGGATGGCTTTGTGGCGCTTGTACAGCAAGGTGGAGGGCGGGACGGTCTAGAAGGCGACATCAAATACTTTATCAGGCTCTATGGAAGGACGGAGACTTTGGCTACAGCACTAGCAGTGGCCTGTGGGCAAGGTGTTGAGGTCTCCCCGGACTCGCGAATAGCACGGGTCAATGATCCAGAAGTTCTGGAGTTTGCCCGGAAAGTGTTCATTGAATATGGTGGGAAGCCGACCATCAACCAGAACGCGATTGCCGATCAGACCGTGTCACCCATTGATACCGTGCGTCCTTCACCACGGCACGCTGGCGTAGCTCTGTACTTGTCTCGGCTCTTACGTTCAACTTGGAAGACTGTCATTGCGAAAGAATCAAGAACACCTGCTGGCGGCTATTCCGTGCTGCCTGGTGTACCCTTGAACAAGATCAAAAGTGTGCAGGAAGATCTGTCTGCTTTACAACATTTCTTTCAAACTAACAGAAGCTTTATCAAAGGGCTGAGTGGACCAGATTCGATGTCCAGGTCATACAGTAAGCAAGATGAGTTAGCCTTGCAGGGCGAGCATCGTGCCCTGCATTCACTGGTCAAATTTGTCTCGGACATCATCGAAGGGCTGTCATTTATAATGGTGCTCTTTGATGAACGGGTAGAAGAAATCATTCCATTACTAGCCGAGGAATCAAGTCCACTCTTCTTACGGCTTACTTTTGAGAACCTTTTTACCACAAGTAGGGGCTTTGAGCTAGCGAAAGAACTTGTCAAGGCTATTGTTAATCGCAACATAGCCAAAGGTTCAAATGTCGAAACTGTCGCCGAGGCATTGAGGAGAAGATGTGGCAGCTTCTGTAGCGCTGAAGATGTAGTCATTTTCAAAGCACAGGAGCTCCTTAAGCGGGCATCGGAAGCCGGCAGTACTACTGAATATGGGCGAAATCTACTCAACGAAAGTCTTGCCTTATTTCAGCAAGTGGCTGACAGCCTCCCAATGGATTACCTTGATTCTGCCGTCAAGCAGTTCACTTCTTTACAATTCTTCGCCGGCGCAATACAGCTTGCTCTCAAGGTGGCCCATGAATCCGACAAAGGCAACGAAGCCCTTTCATGGGTGGCCGACGGCAGACCGGAGACGGATCCGCGGAAGTCGAAATATGAATTTAGAAGGCGATGTTATAATCTCATTCACGAGGTGATTCTGGCAGTAGACAAGAGCACGGAGCAGGAACCCGTTTTCGCGGACGGACGGCCATCAATAACTGCTACGCGACGAAATGAGACATACGACGTAATCAGCCGCTCTGCTGATGAGTTATTCCTGACCAACTTGTATGACTGGTACCTATCCCAGGGCTGGACCGATCGCCTGCTGGCCACAGACTCACATTTCATTGTGACTTACCTAACGCGAAAATCAGCAGAAGACATTGCACATGCCGACTTGCTCTGGAAATACCACGGTCAATCGGGCCAGTTCTATGAGGCGGCATGCGTTCAATTGCAGCTGGCCAAAAGTGGCTTTGACCTGACCTTGGATCGCCGAATAGAATACCTTAGCCGAGCTCGCGCAAATGCTTCCACGTACACACAAGGCAGTAATCGAAAATCCAAGCAGAAGCTGCTGCAGGAAATATCAGAGTTTCTTGAGGTTGCTAATTTGCAAGATGAGGTTCTCCAGCGTTTGAAGGAGGATCCTCGTTTGTCAGGAGAGCGGAAGAACGAGGTCCTTGCTGGAGTAGATGGGCCAGTTCTTAGCATCACCGAGGTGTGTTTTTACGATGCAATCACTGATCTCATGTGCTGATAGTCTCCAGCTTTTCAACAAATTCGCCGACAATGCAGGCTACTACGATATCTGCCTCCTAATCTATGCTGTAGCAGATCATCGTGACATGTCGCAGATCAAATCAACCTGGCAACAACTTCTCCAATCTGTGCACGACGAAGCGGTATCCCGGGATTCTGCTCAACCTTATGAAGTCGTTGCCGAGAAGGTACGAAGTTTGGGTAGTAGGCTGCGACTATCCGAGAGCATCTTTCCAACCCCACTCTTGCTCTCGATGCTTGAGAAGTACGCTTTTGAGTATCAGAGAGGGGTCACCTCCACCACTTGGGTTGTTGATCTCTTCCTTGAGCTTCAAGTGGGGTGTGAAAAGCTATTCGATGTTCTTGAGTCTATGTGGTATGCGAATGAAGCTCCTTTCTACGGCAAAAACAGAGGCGTCCTGGCAAATGATCTCATCTATGTGATAGAGCAATGGCTCCATGAAACAATCAAAGGTGGCGGCGTGGTGTTTGACAGCGAAATCGGCGCGGTTCGAGTAGATCAGATGCTACAGGCCTTGCTGCAGACGGGTACCCAAGGAGGATTGGATGAGGCAAGGATGCAAAAGTGTCGACTTCTTCGCGAAAGTATTGCACAGGTTCTGCATTGACATGGTGGCATGGGTTCTGGGTTGGATAGGCAAAATACAAAGATTGGTCTTCTTCTTTCATAGCGAGGCGTCGACAGGAGTACGGGCACTCCAACGAGTAGTCATCAAAGAGGCTCGCGATTGTTGCGCCGCAGTGCCTTGCTCTTCTGCGAGAGGCTTGGAAGATCTTGAACAGCCACGGCGTTCACCATTGTATCACAGCCTATGATTTGCATCGTGACAGTTGCATAGTTTGGCGTGTACATATGTTGGCAGAATGTGGTCTAGTGTACAATATCGTAGAAAATAAAACGAGAATAGTATTTGCGTGGCCTGCCTTCCCGTAATCAGGTGTGACTAAAAAGTAGGGGTATTTATCCGCTGATCATCCTTCCATCGATGTTCAAGAGCAACGATCAGCTGGTGACCCCATCAGTTCTTCCCTCGATGCTTATTACACCGTTTTATATTGGAACTCCGCGATGAAGAAAGACGTCTGCCCAATATGGGCTCGCAAGCGCGATCTACTTTATCTCTCCTTCTTCCTTGTTCACATACCCATCATGCTTGGTATCCAGCTTCCTCTCCTGTTTTCTCTCGCCACCAAATCCTTTCCCTTCTTGCGCAGTCATTGCTCATTAGGTTCTAGCAGAGCAGTGTCGAGTAGCTGACACTCTACACTTGAATATACAGTCGTTGACCTGACGCCCTTTTACCCGACCTCGGTCAAGCCGCAACTACTTGTGGATCTTAGGGATTGGTACATCACGACTTACAAAGATCGGTTTTTTCTTGACCCGCCAGCATTTTTTACGACATTTGGCATCCTCGAGGCCGTGTATCATCTTCCGCTGAGTTTCTGGGCAGTTGGCGCTATTTTACGGGGCAAGTGATTTCCAACCACTGATTTCATTCACACATACTACTCTACTGCGCTCGGGGAACGAGTAGAGCAATGTGGCCGATGACAGTTATATATGCGCACATGGTTCTGACCAGCTACTCAGATGATCCACTGGTACCGCTACATCTCCTGGTGTGGTCTGTCGAGACGGCTATGAGTACCTTGACTTGCACGGTCGAGGCGATGTGCTGGGAGGGCTTCAGAAAGGAGGAAAGGATTGCGCTGGCACAGCTCTACGTGCCGTATCTGGTGCTAGGTAGGTGGTCTTTCCGCCTAGGGAAGACAAGCATGATGTCAACAGATCTCTTGCAACAGCTGTAGGAATGGGCCTGGACATGTTTCTTCGACTGAGGACGAGGCTTCGAGAGCATAGTAAGGTGAAGACTGGCTGAAGATGACTTTTTAGAGCCTAGGTCATCATCGTTTCAAACTTAAGCAAGAGGAATTGTGAGTGCAGTAAGGGTAAGTATCATGCATATTTCGTCACAAAGGATAGAATAGATGCAAGCATGGAATTTCTGCATAACAGTTTTGTCGCTCTGGACTTCGAAAGCCACCTCTTAATCGAAAGAATCGCTGTTTCAACATTCGAATAGAAAGCATAGACGAGAGACCTCGCGCTAGGTTTTGACAGGACAATAGACATCCACGATAGACCGTAGCACAGCAGCACAACCGACCAAGCAGCTGAATGAGAGTCCTTGCGGTGAAACATCTTTATGGCAGTATTCTTGAGACAACTGGATCAATCGTACTTGTTGATTATTGGTCACAGACGGTCATCTGGGTGGAGTTTTCGGCAGCCCCACTCACACTGTCCACGAAGCCTTGGAAGTGTCTGGGACGTCACCCCATGTGGTTCGCTTCATCAGCTCACCAACCTCTCGTCTTTAAATTTTTGTAGATAGCATCACTTTCAGCAGAACTACAGAAGGCCGTCCTCTGCCGCATTCCTTTGGCCTGAGGCGACAGGAGTAGTGAATTCCAGGTCCATCTGACCCGGATGAAACGTCAAACTGGGGCTATTCGTGGTTCAGCTGTTTGACCACATTATCTTCGCACATTGTCCAACCAGCTTGAAAATCATTTCGCCAGTCAGTTCATAACACTACGCTATGGGATCTCGCTATGATGACACGTATCGATCCTCGATCGGCAGAGGTCCACCACCACCGCCACCACCACCACCTGGACCCCGCTGGGACTCTGATCGCTTTTCCCGAGAGAGCGAAGACCGCTATGGAGGCCCACCTCCACCTATGATGGCGCGGGAGAGGGAGCGCTCGGTGGATTTTGGACGCAGATTCGAGGATCGCTATGCGCCGCCGGCTCGGCCAGTCGACAGAGTGGATGAGCGTTACTATCGAGAAGAATTGTATAGTCCACCTGCTCGCCGTCCCGAGAGACGCTATTATGATGAGGATGACTTCTACGAGCCTCGAGGTCCATCTGTAGGCGGTGCAATGATCCCCTATCGGCCCCACAGACCGGTAGCTCCACCTCGACCTGGTTTGCTCAGGCGACAGTCGAGCCTTGATACCTTTGATCGCCGACCTTCAAGACGCTACGATTATGACGATCGTGATGATTACAGGCCCAGACAACGGCCTCCGCCGGTCATACCTATCCCGGTCCCTCCTAGCCGATCACCACCTCGATACTCACGGCCGAGAAATGCTGAAAGAGATTATGAGGATATCCGCATTGCGGAGCCGGAATACTATGGGGATGAGGAATTTAGGGCTTACAGAGAACGAGAATGGACCAGACAACGGAGCCGACGCCGCAGTACTAGTAGTAGCAGCAGCTCATCCACCGAGAGGGAAGTCGAGCGCCCCAAGACTAAGACGTATCCTCGGAAGGGAAAGACACGCATGCCGAAGCGGCTAGCACATACGAAGGTGCTATTCGAGCTAGGATATCCTTTTTACGAAGAGGTGAGGCACGTGCCTCCAGATTGTCGAATTCTCAAGGCTGACAAAACCAGGGCGAGATGATCATCATCGAGAAAGCTTTAGGGAAGGACAACATTGATGAGGTTGTGACATTAAGTCGTGAGTACCGGGATCGCGAAGGAGGTCAGTCCAGAGCTCGAATGTACAGAATTTTACTAATTCATGACAGCAAGCACTTTCCACGTGATCAAATCCCCTCCAAATGAGGAGAAGGTAACTGAAGAGATCATTGAGCGAAAGGTTACCACCGTGCCTATATCGGAGGCACCTGAGTCGGTCCGCGAGTGGGACCACTTGAAGGTCGAAAGCGTTCGATCTGTCTCGCCAAAGGGTCGTTCTCACTCTCGTCACACTTCTCGATCACGTCGTGGTTCTTCCCCAAAAGAAAAAATTATCGAGAAGAAAACCATCATTCGTGAAGTGTCGCCTGCGCGTACCTCACGCTCTCGACGGCATTCGTCTGTGCCCCGCACAGAGATCATCGAGAGACGCGAAGTCATCGAAGATGATATGGGCGAATCAAATTCTATTCATGCTGGGCCTTTGGCGCTGGTGGTTGACCGTCATCCCAAGACGGATCGAGACATCAAGGAAGAAATTCGTGCTCTGGAGGCAGAACGCAGGGCTTTGCGTCATGAGCGTGTCGAGATTCGCAAACCCTCACGACATAAAGAGGAGGAGCGAGAGATCATCATTACACGGCCGGTTGAGGAAGAAGTCATTGAGGTTCGAAAAGACAAGAAAGGTAGGATGAGCCTGGCCGTCCCAAAATAAAGAACAGGCCCTGATCTAGTGGGCAGCACCCGATCCGAGACTCCTGCGAGCCATGTTGGCAACGCTCACATAGCCCAATACCAATTTTCCTATCTCGGTGCAATCTGAGTGGCATGGTCAACCTGTTGCAAGCTTGAATGTGAATCATAATGGCGAAGAAATGCAGGTTGGACAGGGACTCAAGCGGTTATCGTTACCCCAATCACCAGACCGTTCATCAGCACATTGGGGTAGATGTTCCTTACTTTGAGGTTTGTTCTGGAAGCTTTGAACGGCCGTTTCCATCAGGAGTCGAGTCACCGGTAGAGGTTCTGAGTTGGATGACGAATCTCTTTTAGTACGACATTTAGCATCTCGTATGTTAGGGCAATTTTCATTCGATGCAAATACTGCAGACTACCAGGAGCACGCCATATCATCTGTAATGGACACGGCCAGGGTATGCACTAAGCCCAGGGGATAGGCACTATTCAGCGTTGAACGATTAACTTACTCAGACAAGACACGGTCCCTATCCCGCATGCAAGTCTCTCTATCCACAGACCTACAGATGCAGTTCTTTCTTCTCAACCATATTTCCAATGCTGCCGTTGAGAGCTCGGATTTCACGTAACTGTTCGCGGAAAAGTACTTAAACTCTGTCCCTGCTGTCCATTCCACTCCTCTTCTCTCTCTCCATATGCGGAGGAAATATCGAGGACCACCCATTCTTCAAATTCCAGAGCGCGTTCAAGTGCCAGGGCTATGATGATCTGTAGAAGTCTCTAAGACGATAGCCAAGGCCTGGCTCTATACTAGAATTCTACTATTGTTCTTGTGGTAGGTAGTGTGAATCTAAGAGCACTGCTTTTGGGACTTGAGGGTTGTCTGAGCCCGGCACTGATAAAAGATATAGACAAGCCAATTTGGGGATTGGACTAGGGGAGTTAGGTGTTGTGTAGCTATGTACTTCTAGGTTCGAAGATGGTGACTACAGTAGGTGCTTTTTATGTCAATGTGTTTTTACCGCGGTTTGGTGGATACAAGAATGTCTGCACTAATGGGGAGCTAGAGCGGCGTCATCCTAGGCCGGGTACAGGCGCAAGCTCGAAGCAGGGTTCATAGCTGTAGAAACCCCTTCGCATGTGGACACCATGATGACTATGTTACCAGATCTTGAAGCGTAGGCATCGGCAGGAATCATTCAACAACCAAAACCAATATCTCAGAGCCATCCTCGTGTCCAAAATCTCGCCATGGACAAGTTTCAGGCCTTCGGCAAGAATATCAGGTATGTTGAGGCAGGGAAAACTGCAGTCGGACGGCCTTGGAGAAGGCCTGCAGGGCTGCTTAAAGTGCCTGAGCCCACTAACATGAGTTTCTGCACACAGTGCCTCCTTTTCTCCCTTTGCAGCTCGCACACAGCAATTCGTCAAGGAGCAGCTAGGGCAAGCCGATGAGAAGGTGTGGTTTTTTCTTCTAGCTATGTTGACACCCAGATGTTGACCCACCCTTACAGACACAACTCCCCGCCGACTACATTGAACTTGAGAAGAGGGTCGATGCTTTGAAGCAGGTTCATCAAAAGCTCCTCTCCGTTACGTGAGCTTTTTGGCTGCTGTCACCTACAGCAGTAAGACTGACGGAAGCTATGCAGATCGCAGTATTCAAACGAGGCTTACGACTATCCCCCTAATATCCGCGAATCCTTCACAGATCTCTCCCGTACGATTGCCGACAAGGTCACTCTCCTATCTCACGCCTCTACTCCGGCGGAAGCTCAAGCTGCATTTACGGCCCCTCCCAGCGCGAAACCTCAGCCAAAAACCTTCAACCATGCTATCGCCCGTGCTTCTCTCGCCAGCTCGCAGCTTCTAGCACAGACACACTCATCTCAGGCGAGCGAGGATCCTCTGGCAAGTGCTCTTGAGCAATATGCATTGGCACAGGAGAAAGTTGGAGAAGCTCGCCTTGCCCAAGATGCGCAGATCCAATCCCGGTTTCTGGCTGGCTGGTCTACGACGTTGAACACCAACATCCAATTTGCGACCAAGGCAAGGAAGTCTGTAGAGAATAGCAGACTTCTACTCGATAGTACCAAGGCTGCAAAGAAGAGCGCTATCCAAGGTAGAGGCATGAACCCAGATGACGAGGGTCAGTTGAGCGAGGAGGCTCGAGCAGAGATCGAGGCTGCCGAAGATGAATTCGTCAATCAGACTGAAGAAGCTGTAGGTGTGATGAAGAATGTAGGTCGTGCCGGCAAATCGAACACGTGTATGATTGCTAACTGCTAGCGCAGGTACTCGATACGCCCGAACCTCTACGCAACCTGGCAGACCTAATTGCTGCTCAACTGGAGTATCACAAGAAGGCCTACGAGATACTTAGCGAGCTTGCCCCTGTTGTGGACGGACTGCAGGTTGAGCAAGAATCGAGTTATCGTAAGAGTCGTGAAGGCGCCTAAAGAAAGCCATGAGCTACTTTTCGCTATTAGCTTGCAGAGGTTACGCATGACATTGTGTGCGGTGTGGTTGGGGGTTTGGTGGTTGGGGATATCTTCGCAAGGATTATTTTAGGCCACGCAGCAGTGCTCAAGCATGGAGACACAATCCAAGACACTTCTAAACCTTCACGAGGTACTGGGAAAGCCCTAAATATTGTAGCTTGGACCACCGAGTTTGAGATTGCCTCGCACCCTGTCGGTAAGTTTATTGGTATATCTTTCCGAAGTTTTGCCGACAGCCTGCGCATTACCAAGATGAAGCACTTTGGGAGCTTCACAGATCCACGAAGAGGCTTTCTCATCACACTGTTGCATACACTTCTCTTGTTCTAGTTTGTACTATTGGAGTCGACCAAGTTCCAGTCAGATCTTGTCCTACCTACAGCGTTGGCCCAGGCCATAACCCGAACCTCACAACATGGCGAACGGGTATGCGACGATCTTCTCTCTCCCCTTTGCTGGCCTTTTCATCCTACCGTTCATCTGGTATTGCTAGCACTAGCATCCAGTTTTTCATCGTACGCTTAACAGTATCTGCATTCGAACACTTTCCTTTCTACAGTCGTCTTTTGCCGATGCGCCTGCGCCTGTGCCTGCGTCTTCATGATCTTTGGAGATCTCTATTGAAAGTAATGGCTGACCTTCTGGTGTCTCATACAGCTGGTCAATAATTATTGGCCTCGTCTTCGTCGTTCTTGCATCTCTAGTGGCGTGGTTCTTTTCACCAAAGGGGGAAAATAATACGTATGTTTCTTTCCGCCTCCCAGGCGTATCAGCCCGGACGATTATACTACGATTTGTCTGGCAATAGTACCCTCTTCAGTGCCCTAGAGGGAAGATGGACAGCATAAGATAGGCGATCGCCAGACTTGACATTTTCGCCGCTAGTTGATGGCAGACAAAAGCACATATATGCCCTACAGCAGCAATGCTACCAGCGGCAGCTACCACCAAGCCTACATCCATGAGACGAGAAGCTGACTTGTCAATCCGCAGTGTCTGGCGCTCAACATTAATACTGAGCTTCGCAAGCTGCTACATCATGTGGGGTAAGCAAGACGTTCCCATTTCTCGTCCCCTTCTCCTTTAATGGCCACCGCTTGTGCTTCAGAACACGTCCTACTACCCAGTCTCCCTCTTCCCCACCCAATGGCTCCATCACGTTTGTTGACCCTCGGTGTGACCATAGCAATTACCTTCCTCGCACAATGGCACCCCCTCATCGAACCGAATCGGAATACACTCAGACCAGGGTATGAATGAATCAAGAAAGAGAGCCGAAGGAAAGCTGAGGTTGGGGAGCACGAAGAAAACTCTGATTTTGAGACGTTTCATGCCGTTGAAACAGCTAGCCTACACCACCACGCTTGGAACGGCGTTCGCACAGATGGAATTCGGCGGGTCTGTGCATGGATATATCATTACATCGCATGGGCGTACGGCGTTTCTTTTTGCGATTGCGCAGTCTAGCGCATGGAGCATAGATTCAGGTTCCCGCCATCTATACATGAATACACTGGTCTGAAAGAGTGACTTGTCCGCAGCAAATCCTACTTCCCCATCACATTTCCAGCATGAACCTGAATTTGCACGATGCAAAGGCGAGACCGTCTTGTCTGTTCGGCCCATTAGGTCTCGTCCTTTCTCTTTCTCTCTCTCTACAAGTCCTCTATCTCTAGATAATAGATTCCTCAGATCCTGTAGTCTATGCAGCCACCTTGAAGGCCTCGGCCCAATCGAATACGTGATGAGTATGAAGCGTAGAAGTTGAGATTGGAGTGATATACAGCTCCTTCCCTCTTACTCTCCCTGTTCCTCCATCTGTGCCCTCTAATGTGCATTTAGTCCCCGCTTCTCCAACCCCTTCCGAACCGCATCCTTCCCCTTCTCACCCTCATCTCCCATCCCGTCCCCGCCCCCGCCTTCACCAGCTCATCCCAGAAGTTGGTTGGATCTTGATAGTATACATACATTTTGTAAGGTGATCACACCCCGCAACAGAAGCAAGACCCATATGCAATGCGCCAACAATCCGCCATTCCCGACGATGGATCAATATGAAAGAGTCTCCGCCCTACGCTATGCATCTTCGAAGTGCTCCAATGCGCTCTGCATGTGAGGGTGTTGTTCCGTAGAAAGGCCCGAAAGTGGGAATGTGGGTATATTCAGACAGACATAGGAGTTCCACTCGGCTTCCTCTTCAGATCCTCCCTGCTCTTCTCCGTAGTCTAGCCTGAGCCTGACGCCTTTTTAGGTTCTTCGTCTTGGTTGTCCGTGCTTTTGTTGTCGATACCTTTGCTGGTTTTGTTATCGTCGTCCGGTTCAAGGTTTTCATGTTGGTTGGTCAGTCTATGCCAAGCTGATTTGAGGAACCCTTCATTTTTGTGGTCCGAAGCTTTGTTAGAGGAGGTCGATGACGACGGTGATGCTTTCGAGGATGTGTCATTATTTCTGTGGAGGATTAGACGGCCGCCAAAATTTGTAGAAGATAGGATATGGGGTATGGGAAGGGTGCTCACTTTTGATACTGGCCAATATTCATAATCCTCTTCGCGGTCTTGTCGCCCATCTCATCTGCCAGCATCTCCAAAATCGTTCGCTGATTGGCGCTGAGATATTTGGGCATACCGACTTTGAACTCTACCCGTAAATCGCCGGAAGCTGCTCGCCTTCCGCCCAGCCTCCTCATACCCATGCCTCCTAGCGTAATTCTATCACCTGTACCAGTCCCGGTGGCAACCTTAACTTTGACTTCTCCATCTAGGGTCGGGACAGTGACTTCTCCACCCAGCAGGGCCGTAGTCAGAGGAATTGTGGCGGTGTATAGGACGTCCGCGCCATTACGGCTAAATCGTGAGTCTGGCGCAACTCTGATGAAGACGTAGAGATCGCCTTGAGTGGACTTTGCATTGGGGTTGGCAGCCATACCGGTAGGTGCGGCGTCCCCCTCCCCTGCCACCCGTAATCGCATGCCATCTTCGACACCGCCAGGGATCTCAACACGAACAGTCTTACGCTGTCGGACAACGCCGTTGCCTGCACAGGTTTGGCATTCTGAGCCTCGAGGGATCGTGACACCTTGTCCACCGCAGACATCGCAAGTACTGGCCATTTGGAAGCCTTGCTGCATGAAATGCACTTTTGTGCCAGTGCCCTTACATGCCGAGCAGGTCTTCCTCTGGGTGCCCTTCTTCAGGCCGTTGCCCTTACATGTACCACAAGTCACCAGTGGTGTAACAAATATGTCTTTCGAAACGCCCTTCGCAGCATCCATGAATGAGATGTTTGTCTGAACTTCAATGTTTTCACCGACTAGTATCTCTTCTTGGAACGGTGACTGCCGTCCCCCTCTTCCCCTCCGAGCCTGACCTGTGAAAGCACCAAATAGATCCTCGAAATTGAACTCGGCCCCGAATCCACCGCCAAAGCCTTGGAACGGCCCTCCTGCTCCCGCTGCGCCGGCGAATGGGTTTCCGCCTTGAGCTCCGCTGGGATCAAATCCTGCTGCTTGATCGAACGCTGCAGCACCATATTGATCCCACATCTCTTTCTTCTTTGGGTCTTGAAGCAGTTCATACGCCGACTGGGCTTCTGAAAATCTGTCTTTTGCGTTTGGGTCTTTGTTCGTATCCGGATGGTACTTCTTCGCAAGTGTATAATATGCTTTCTTGATCTCGGATGGAGATGCGCTCTGGCTGACTCCTAGAGTCTGGTACGGATCCTTCGTAACTTCATTTCTAGATGTCGCAGAGAAGGGCCTCCTCTGACTCGTCCAGATACATGGTTGTTCCCTTACGATCGTTCGACGATGTCGACAAGGAGGAGGTCGAAGGGACGAATCAGAGAATGTTCTGGTTTGGGCCTTTCGCTGAAAAGATTTGATTATCAGGCGAGCGTGTAGAGCCGCGATGGAGGGCGGCCACGTAGAACCAATGGATATGCTCATCGTTAATGGAGGGTTTCATATACGACAGTCGCATGGAGATGCTATTCCTTGATATGTTCGATGTCCAAATCAGATGCGTTCAGATGCATGATCTCCTCGCAAAATTTTAGCCTGGCTTCTGCAGCTAACTACGTAGCTTCCGGCGTTAAGCAACTACTGTAATAGTGTCCGGGATTAGCGACTGCATTATGTAACTGCCTACGGATTTTTTGATGATGCATCTGATGCTTGTCCTATTGCATCAATACTGATCGTCCATCGCAAGATCTGTCTCAGTTACACCTACTAACCACCACATCCTAAGTCCAAAAGATAAGCTGGCTATGAAAGCTCATATGGTCTATACTATCTAACCCGCCTTCCCTCTTCTATTGCAGGAAGGAGCATGATAAGCTTGCCATGGAGAGCAGCATTGCGCAGCGCGCAATCGACGCTGTGTAGGGACTGTCAGAAAAATCTCCTTCTCTCAAGACTGTCAGCTACGACAAGATCATCTCCAGTTCGGGATCCTCGCTTTTTCAGCACTGCAGGCCGATTACAAATACGTAACTTCTCATCCCATCCTGCCAGACGAAAAGACAAACCACCACCCGACCCTTTGGCCGTTGATGAGAGTTCAGAAGATACCCAAGCGGGGAAAGTGGACAATGAGCTACGGGAGGATTCCCGGTCAGAAGATAGCGTTGAAGCGAAGGACAAGCCACCCGAACCGCAACCCATACCTACTTCCTCTTCCGGCAGTTCCAAAGTCAGTAGTGGAAGTGGAGGCGAATCAGGATCTGGCAGCGACGGAGATGGAGGACCGCGGCGAGGAAGGAAGCCGGTTACCGAGAGGGCTTTGCAAAAGCCAACGGTGCCAGAGATCTATCCACAGGTCATGGCTATACCAATAGCCAAACGGCCATTGTTCCCTGGTTTCTACAAGGCAATCACCATTCGTGATGCGAGTGTCACTTCGGCAATACAAGAGATGATGAAAAGAGGTCAGCCATACGTCGGGGCTTTTCTTTTCAAGGACGAAGCAGCAGATAAAGACATCATAGAGCGAAAAGAGGACGTGCACGAAGTGGGAGTTTTCGCCCAGATCACCAGTGCCTTTCCTGTCCATGGTGAAGAGAATAGTCTTACAGCTGTATTGTATCCTCACCGCAGAATCAGGATGACTGCCCTCATGCCTCCATCCAAGGGCAAGCCCGCACCTGACGCGCCGGCACCAATGGTGGAAGTTGCTCCTATTAGGGAAGAAAAGTCACAGATTGATGGCACAGCCGAAAACAGAGGCGATGTTGTTGCAAGTTTTGAAGAGCCAAACAAAGACCAGACCGCAAATCAGATTCATCAATACGAGCCTACAGCCTTCTTACGCAAATATTCTGTCTCCCTTGTCAATGTCGAGAATCTAGCAGAGCAACCGCACGAGAAAAGGGACCCGGTAATACGCGCTACGACTTCTGAGATTGTCAACGTGTTCAAAGAAGTTGCAAATCTCAATCCCCTCTTCAAGGACCAAATTTCTGATTTCAGCATGTCCCAGTCGGCAGGCAACGTGATAGAAGAACCAGCCAAGCTTGCAGATTTTGCTGCAGCAGTGGCTGCAGGGGAGACTTCTGAGCTACAGGACGTCCTGCAAGAAATGGATGTTGCTGCAAGGCTACAGAAAGCGCTTATCGTTTTGAAGAAAGAGCTCATGAACGCAAAGCTGCAGTCCAAGATCTCGAAAGATGTGGAGCAAAAGATCCAGAAAAGGCAACGGGAGTATTGGCTTATGGAACAAATGAAAGGCATTCGACGAGAGCTTGGGATTGAATCAGACGGGAAAGACAAGCTGGTGGAGAAGTTCAAAGAGAAGGCTGAGAAGCTTGCTATGCCCGATGCTGTAAAGAAGGTCTTCGAGGAGGAATTGAACAAGTTGGCTCATCTAGAACCAGCAGCGTCAGAATTTAACGTCACCCGAAACTACCTTGACTGGATTACTCAGATTCCATGGGGCCAGAAAAGCGCAGAAAATTTTGGGATCAAGAATGCTATGTCGGTCCTGGATGAGGATCACTATGGCCTCAAAGACGTCAAAGACCGCATTCTAGAGTTCATCGCTGTGGGAAAACTCCGTGGCACTGTGGAGGGCAAAATTCTGTGCTTCGTGGGTCCGCCTGGTGTTGGCAAGACTTCGATCGGAAAGTCGATCGCAAGGGCACTGAACAGACAATACTACCGATTCAGTGTTGGAGGTCTGACTGACGTCGCAGAAATCAAAGGCCATCGAAGGACCTATGTCGGAGCTTTACCAGGGCGAATCATACAAGCATTGAAAAAGTGCCAGACCGAAAACCCTCTCATTCTGATCGACGAGGTTGATAAAATAGGTCGGGGCCATCAAGGTGATCCATCATCTGCTCTGCTGGAACTTCTCGACCCGGAGCAGAACAACAGCTTTCTAGATCATTACATGGACATTCCTGTAGACCTTTCGAAAGTTCTTTTTGTCTGCACCGCCAACATGACCGACACCATCCCACGTCCTCTCCTCGACCGTATGGAAATGATAGAGTTGAGTGGCTACGTCTCCGACGAGAAGAAGGCTATTGCTGAACGCTATCTTGCGCCACAAGCCAAAGAACTAAGCGGTCTCAAAGATGTCGATGTTACTCTTGATGCCTCGGGAATTGAAGAACTAATAAACAAATACTGCCGCGAGTCCGGAGTACGCAACCTCAAGAAGCAGATTGAGAAGGTCTACCGCAAGTCTGCACTTAAAATCATCCAAGACCTCGGTGAGGAAGCGTTCCCCGAGTCAGAGGCATTGACAGCCGAAGGTAAAGCCGCGCTACAGGAAGCTGAAAAGGACGACTCAGACGTCAAGGAGACACCGGAAGACATCTCGAAAGAGACCACCGAGAAACCTCGGGTCGCTCTCAAGGTGCCCGACACCGTTCACGTGACCATCTCACGGGATACACTCAAAGACTACGTAGGCCCTCCCATCTTCACCTCCGATCGCCTTTACGACAAAACACCTCCCGGCGTCGCCATGGGCCTGGCATGGACCTCTATGGGAGGCGCCGCCCTATACGTCGAATCCATTTTCGATTCCGCCCTCACCTCCTCTTCTCGCCCCATGCTCGCACCGACCGGCAACCTGAAAGCCGTCATGAAAGAATCAACCTCCATCGCCTATAGCTACGCCAAATCTCTCCTCGCGACCAAATTTCCCCAAAACAGGTTCTTTGAGCACGCTCGCATCCATCTCCATTGTCCGGAGGGGGCGGTGCAGAAGGATGGGCCTTCAGCAGGTATCACGATGGCGACGAGTCTGCTGAGTTTAGCGCTGCAGAGGGAAATCGATCCCACGGTCGCGATGACCGGGGAGTTGACAGTGACAGGGAAGGTTTTAAGGATTGGCGGGTTGAGAGAGAAGACCGTTGCGGCGAGAAGGGCCGGTTGTACGAGGATTTTGTTCCCCAGGGATAATTGGGGGGATTGGTGTGAGCTGCCTGAGGTAAGCACCAAACATTTACGAGCACCCCATTCAACGCACATATAGGAGATTGGCGCTAATGTTTGTTCTTCCTACAGAATATCAAACAAAACATCGAAGGCCACGCTGTGGACTGGTACAGCGATGTCTTTGATATCATCTTCCCAGGTCTGGATGCCGAGGCAGCGAACTCGGTGTGGGAAAAGCAGTTGAAGGAGCCGGAGAAGGAGAAGAAGAAGCGGAAGACTAAGTCTTCGTCGTCGTCGTCTTCTTTCTCGAAGTCGGACGATGACGACAGCGATGATGACTGAGAGCCGTTGGAGATCACCATGGTTGTAGGGATTCCATGCACTGAAGTTCGGCAGAGCATGGCATCCTGTCTTTTCAGATCTATCTAGGCATTGGACCTCGATTTCTACGGCTGCTGCGTCTGGTTTGGGAGAATGGGGGTCTGCATCACAATGGTGTTTGCTGCTTCTTTTCACGCGTCGAAAAGGAGCCTGGCTTTATTGGTACACTTTCCTGTTGAGTACGTCTGCCTCTATTTCCGCGCAAGGGCTGGCATGTTCACAAGCATTCGAAACATGTGCCGATAGAGTTTAACTGCAACGGGGCGAGGATGGGTGCCGTTTACTGCTCTTAGGTCTGAGTTCATCTGCCCGCAGGGCAGGTTGGGATAGACCATGAAAACTCCACTCTTTGGCACGGGCACGGGCATGGGCATGTATATAGATGAGGACCGGATGGAACCTGATATGAATGGATGGGTCTTCAAATACAGATATGTTCCGCACGTGGTGTTAGACAAGTAGGATCTTTCCTTTTTCAGAATGTGAAGATGAGATCGGATGTGGCTTTTCTTCGTGCCACAGGATAACTCATGCTTTTACAGCATGGTTGTTCTTGCAAGTGGTAGCTTTTTGGACTTCTAGTTTTGGGACATGGCAGTGTCGTGGAAAAGCACTGTTAGAAAAAGGACACAGCAACCACTCCACCAAAGGACAGCGCTTGTGGGTTTCGAATCGCACTAAATTGATGTATCTCCACTGACTCCGTTGAAGAGCGGGGTGATAGAACCCTCTGATGATTTCTGGATATGCAATGCCCCTTTTTTGTAGCGAGAGAATCGGTTGTCGGGAGGACTTCAGGTATACAGATGGATAGTACTAGGGTAAGTAACTGTGAAAGGGGCTGGTTGGAGAGGTTGATTTGGTCGTAATGATTTCAGGACTGGAAGCAGGAGTGAGGATGAGATGATACGAGGAATCTTCACTCTTTCCGATCCAGGTGCGCTGGATGAAGGGCAGCCTCGAAGCCATGGTGCCTATCTGGTAGGTAAGAAGACAGTGAGGAAATGGAAAATGTATAAGAGAGCTGCACTACTACCCAGAGATATCCCCGGAGACTTTCAAGTGGTTCAGAAGCAGGCGCAGTGTAGCTCAGCCAGTCTCTCAGGCTGAGAATGACTCCGTGACATCGGTGATGAAACATAGGGCACTTTTCTGCCTAATGCTTTTCAGACAGGAAGGAAATTTACTTGTCTCTGATCATCATGGTCACTGAGCGGTGAGTTGAATATTGCCCATTTTTGAAGTCTCGACATGCCATCATCTTCATGGAGAGCCTGCGAGCTGGTCCTGATAGTGGAAGGTTAAAGGTGGTTTTTTTTCTCTCCTGATGTCCTGAACATTTGGCGAAAGGAAATGATTGTGTGCATCGAGAGTGGCTCTCTGGTGGCTGTTGCTAAGGCATATTCGATTTAGACGCGTAATGTAAGCTAGATGCCACCATATGGTCTCCAAGACAGCATGGGAAATTATTCTCATCTCGTGCGAGCTACAGAAAGAATAATCCACCGTAGTTTCGAAGCTCGAGAAAGCGATCGTCGGTGCTCTATCTCGAAAAATATCCCAACATACTGTCTGATATGCATCGTTGGTATAACGAAATTACTTCGTACTGGTAGAGTATGGCAGGGCATCAGTCTACTCGTTTGTAGACCAGCAATAAGAGTCAGAGAGTAGCTGTAGGAAACATCAACAATTACTGGTGGGTTAACCCCAGCTCAAGGCGATGCTGTCTGCAGCTTACATGCATGGCTGTTGGGTCCCAGCCATCTGAAATCGGCCACCACTCAGCTTTGCAGGCAGTGGACGTTGTGATCTTTTCGTGTTGCAGGGCAGTCCCAGCGGAGCAACCGGATCATGGGTGACATGTGCAAGAATAATAGAGTTCTCTTGCTTCATCGTAGAGAACAACCAGAATATCACGAGCACGCAGAAAAGGAATAGGAAAGGTCAGCTTCTGGCGGCCCAGTAACGGATAGGGCCGCAGTGTCCGCAAGTGAGTAGGGCCAGCAGTGACGAGTTCATGCTGTTAGAGTTGTATCAAGTATGGTTAGGGGACACGTAAGTTTGTCAAGTCGCCGAATGGGCGGAAAGTTTGACGTTGCTGCCCGAGTGAGGCAGCCAAAGGACGGCAGAGGACTTCATGAATTACTTCCATACCTGTGCAGGCGGAAGGGATGCAATGCAGTAGTCCGAACTTCCATCGCGATTGGAAGAACCTGTTCAAATTTGGCCGGCCGTTGTGGCAATGCATGCGCTATGTCTGAGATAAGTGATGAGGTGAAAACCTCCTACATGCTCATTTAAGTAGATGGACAACAAAGAAAAGCGAATCAGAGACTATGTGGGTAGTTGTGGATGATAGATTGGCTGCCTGAGTCAGTGGTGCCAGCACATAGGGCTAATGTACGAAGTATATTTGAGGACGTTCTAGCAAACTGCAGAGTGACGACAGTTGGTTAGTTTCTCCAGGTGGAGAGCCGTGGTAATGCTGTAATTGCTGTTCAGACCTCTGGGCCTGTGTGTAGCGATGACCCAAGGACTTTCGTTCAAAGGAGCATCGGAAAGATATAAAGCACAGAAGATTTTCGTGACGGGAAGTAGTAGTTGAAGTTTTGAGGTACTAACGAAGCCCCGATCGTGAGGGGGCAGCAGACTAGTGTACTACTTACCGGGGGGGGATAAGAATTGTTAGGCCGGTGCTAGTAGCGGCTGGTCATTGTAACTTTATTATAGTGCTGTGATTTGGGTGTCGCAAAGCCTGACTCGAGCACATCCATTGAAAAGAGTTAAAAATTACGTTTAATCTGATCTGAGATTAGCTGTCTTGTACAGAGAAGGTTTGAGTAAAGATACTAGCGCTGAGCTGCCAATACTCATGCCCCTTGTAGAAGAGTTACTAATTATGAAGTACATTGACCCTGTCCGCGTCCTGTTTCGGAGCCTTCTCCAAGGAATTTACACACACTACTATTCTACTATGTAAAGACAAACCACGCGTCCTGATCTCTTGCTTTTGTTGGTTGTGCTCGGCAATGTAAGTGCCCAATATACAACTGTACCTCCTCTAATGCTTGCCACTGTAGCTTTCATTCCTCTCGATCCTTATAAGCGGTGTGTGTGAGTGCAAAGTGGGACAGTCAGCCTCACTCGCATTTGCCCCAGCCACTACAATTGCTGATTTGGAGAAGGAATCTCTTGCACCTCCGGACCCAGAGTCGTGCTATTCCTACTTCAATTCTCTCTTGTCTTAATAGTCAGCTTTTCAATTCTTCGGAGATAATAATTGCATATGGTGTCAGGCGTTGGAAAGTCGAAGCATTACGGACTCGACAAGTCCTATCGTGCTCGTTGTTTTCGGATGACTGCATGTGCCACCCACCATCTTTGCAATGCTGCAGTGGGTGGAGAGCACTCTCTGTCTCAGATCTTCAACGGTTGAGATCTGAGATTGACTGTATCTCCCAGCTGAGATTGTTGCTGGATGGACGCCGACTGCTGCATGGCTATCAGGATTGAAGAGAGCCCTACGAGAGGCACGTTGCCGGAACTCGAACCGGTCAAATCCCGGCCCAAGCAGAGCATGTGGCGGCACAAATTCAACCGATTTTTTGGTAAAGATGGCAGCCCAACTCCAAGTCCAAGCCCCCAAGCAACAACAAACAAAGTGGGTGAAAACCAGGAATCAGCTATACGGCGAGATTTTGGCAGAAGAGTAGGAGTTGGACTACCTCGACCACCGACATTCAGGAGACAGAACTCAGAAAAGCGGGATCGGTTAGAACCGGGCCCAACAGAAAGACGAGCAGTGTCCGCCCACCGGCAACAGAGGGCTGCCAGCGCACATCAGCCACGGTCAAGATCTTCACCATCACCAACCATACCTGGCCCAGTGTCTGCTCCCTCACTCTCCCCAAGTAACAGCACTCCGGATCAATCAGGCTTCACAGATGGTATCGCCTCTCAGAAAGCTTCGTCGGAAGCGTCCAGCCTTCATAATGGCACAACGGACAAATCTCTTAGGCCTTATGGGTCACGATCACAGTCGTCGTCAGACACATTCGATGAACTTGCTCGAGACGAGAAGGAGCAGATCGACCACGAGCTGGACACGAAGTGGATCCTCAACCTAAGTATGCATTTTCGAGATAAATCGGACCGGGAAAAGTTCTTTGTCACTTTCGCAGAAGAGCCTAACCGATGGCGAAGGGTGACCATATCTTGTGACTATCGCACTGCCGAGCCTGACTCCCTGGAGATGGATCTGAAGGAGCTCCGATATCAACGAGATAAGAATGCGCAGATATATGAGTCGATACGAGACTCACTTTCCTCAATTCAATTCTATAATACGGTGACTAATCTGAAGTTAGAGACTGAAGGTGGTCGTCTTCATGTTCATGTAACGGAAGACGTCAATGAAATCATCCCGTACCCGCCACGACTCAGTGTGCAACATATCCTTGCGGACAGAACCCACCCTATCAGAGAGGCTCGAGAACGCGAAATAAACTTTCTGTCACATCTCTCTGGCTTTGTGTACAAGATCAGCTTTCAAGGTCGAGAGTATATCAAGAAGGAAATTCCCGGTCCAGATACTGTGGATGAGTTCCTCTATGAGGTCAACGCGCTTCACGCCTTATCTGCTGCCAGTAGCGTGATCAAATTGGAAGCCATTGTGATGGATGATTCCCGTCAGACGGTGAAAGGCCTGTTGATATCCTATGCTGAACGTGGAGCTCTAGTCGACTTGCTGTACGATAACCATGAAGACGAATTACCATGGGCAGACCGTGTGCGCTGGGCACGGCAGGCTGTTGAGGGATTGAGTGAGATTCATGAGGAGGGCTATGTGCAGGGTGACTTTACTCTTTCCAACATCGTGATCAATAAGAACAACGATGCCAAGATCATCGACATCAACAGAAGGGGCTGTCCAGTGGGATGGGAGCCCCCAGAAATTGCGAGCAAGATCGCTAGCAACCAAAGGATATCAATGTACATTGGGTCAAAATCGGACCTGTATCAGCTTGGAATGACACTTTGGGCTCTGGCCATGTGTGACGATGAGCCTGAGAGGCACGATCAGCCTCTCAGCATGGAAAACATGTCTGATGAAGTGCCAGACTGGTTCAAAATGATCGTGAAGGCTTGTTTGAGCCGTCAGCCCCGAGATCGGCCGTCAGCAAAGGAGCTGCTTCGCCAGTTTCCTGTTCTTCTGGATGACAACAGTTCATTCAGGATCAGCTCGGTAAGCAAACCCATTAGTGAACGTTTACCTAAAAGGTACATAGAACCGTGTGCAGCCGTGGAGAGGGAGGACCTTGAGAGACTAGGAAGGGCTCGGCGAAGGAGCAATTCCGAAGTCCCTTCAACTGAAGATGCCTCCCTTATTGAGCCGCCTTCATCGAGCTACCACTTTGACAGCAGCAGCTCTTTTGTTGGTATTCGAAGAGATAGAAGAGCCTCCCCCCGGGCAGGGAATGCAGATAATCATAATTCTGGACATACGAGAGCTGACGAAAATGATGTTGATGTTTGGGACGATAGCGATCTGCCACCTCGAATTATCTCTGTCTCTCCTGGCCGAGAACCTCGGTACGAAGGAGTTGATATAAATGCTGCTCCAAGTCAGGAGCATCAATCTCCGGTGTTGCCTGCACAGTCGAGTCTCCCCCAGCATCGTCTTTCTGAGCAGCCATTTATATCTGATGAAAAGATCGCATGGACAGCCTCCTCTTCGTGCTTAGACGGCATCTCGGAAGTCCGGCACGAACCAGATCCTCAATCGGTTGATGCAGACCTTGAGCTTCCAAATCCGCATCAGTTGCACGCAGAGGCTGCTACCACTTCCATCACATCCGATAGCACCCCTCGGAATGCTCATTCGATAATGGCGACGTCCACATCCTCGATAGTTTCTCCGCCTCCACCTCCATTGGATCTTGCGATAGGAGATCTTGTCGGATTTGGTGGACATCCTACCCTTGAAGAATACAGTCCGCATGAGCCGATGAAAGTTCCAGATGCCCAGTCCTCCCTATATTATGATACTCAAGCACAGCAGCAATCAACAGACTCTACAGATCTCTCCTTCGCTGATAAGGAACCACTACCTCCTGATAGCAATCAACCTACTAGCGACTTACTAACAACAGCTTTTTCTCTCCCTCGAAATGGATCGCGTTCTTCAGATATGAATGAGGCGTCCACAAGCCACTTGCCCTCTACGGATATGACCGATTTAACAACCAATTTAACCAGTGTATCAGAATCAGGCGATACTGTAATCCCGTCTGCACCAGCACCGCAAGAGAACCAGTCTCTTCCGACCTTTCATGAACGTCCTTTTGTTTGTCTACGCGAGATAACACAGCCTCTTTGAATCGCTTCATGTACACCTGCGCTCCTTTCACGTCCAGGCCGCTTGAGCCTTTGAGAGAAACAGAACTAGCATCTACTTGGCTCTTTGGCAAACGACTTGCAAAGACCCTTTCCTGCATTGACCGTGAGCTTTTCGTTCTTGGACAATACGTGACTGATATTTCGGGCGGCTGTTTTGGGCGTGTGTATACAATATGAAGAATGATGAGTGATGCAGCAATGCACATAATGAGCACGATCTGATTGATGCCTTTTGGCGGCGATATTTCTGTATGACTAATACGATTATATCAGCAATATTTTATGTGTCACACGTGTTTGACGTTGGCATGTCTGGTGGTTGGTAGCTTCAAAGGTTGTCAGCTCGCTCTGAGCATACTTGCTAAAGACTCGACTGATTCAGCATTGTATCTAGTTCTATTTTATGGATGGCGCTAAAATACTTTCCAAATGTCTACCTATCATGATAATCTTGCACCCCTTCTCCTCCGCTGCTGCCTCAACCGGATGACCAGAGTCTATGATATCGAAGATCTCTCTCACACCCTGCAATATCTTCACCGAGCTGTCCGTCAGTGGCAGTAGACCCTTGACTCTGTGTACCTCTGCAGCGGCATTATCATTCTCCTTAATGTCACCGCTTCTCCCTCCTTCACGCCACAAAGTCTCACGAAGCCAGGCCTCTAGCAATGGTAGAGATTCTGGGTCGAGACGTGGTAGAGAGAAGCTTCGCGTAGATATGGAAGAGTCGAGATGACTGTGTCCCTTCGCGTCGAAGTCTGGAATCGTGCTTAAGGCATCGTAGGCGTGCAGGTCCAAGAGGACGCCCTCGAGCTGCTGGACCCGGCTGCGCGTTGTGTTGATGATCTGGGCTAGGCCGTTGATTGCGCGGATGCGAGATGTGATGTTTGCGAGGTCGGTTGTTGAGACTAGATCGGATTTGTTCAGTAGTATGACGTCTGCGTGGGATATTTGTAGATGGGCTGTTGTCAGGTTTGGGCCTCGAGCATGCCCTTCACCATTTGTATGTTCTTCTGCCTTCTCTTCCGCGGCAGGCTCATCTAAACATCTCAGCAAATTCTTCGCATCCGCCACCGTCACAATCCCGTCCAGGTAGATGCTACTCCCCAACCCGTCATCAACCCAGAAGATGGGCGCGATGTTCCCCGGATCCGCTAATCCTGTCGTCTCGAGGAGGATGTAATCGAAGGCTCCCTGCCGTTCCATCAACGACTCCAGAGCCGCGACCCCGGAGTCCTTGACGGAACAGCAGATGCAGCCGTTGGCAAGGGAGATCCATTCTTCGACTTGTTGGCCGTCTTTGTTGACGGTGAGGGATTTTTCTATGTCGGCTGAGTCACCGAATTCTGTATGAAGAGAAGAGTGTTAGAATGGTGTGAAACTGAGGGTAGTGTGGGGAGGGAGGTTTGGGAAAGTACAAGCCGTTTAGGATGACTGCTATCTTCTTGCCGTGTTGCTCGGAGAGAATGTAGTTGAGGAGGGTCGTCTTGCCGGCACCGAGGTAGCCTGAACACAGGGTATGTCAGAAAAAAAACCAGTTATCTAGACGTTGCTATGCTGGCTGCAAGGGCGTGCTTGATTTACTCCTGTCCCTACCTGTGACGATGGTGATGGGCACTTTCATTGGTGGTGCTTCGTCTCGTGGGCGTAATTTGGCGTCCACAAGCTCCGGAGGTCCATCCTCATCGCTTTCAACGATATCCAGGTTCATGTTTGAAGTTGTGGAAGAGGGGCCGATGATTGAGAGTATGTATTGCTTCAAGATCATTGTCCCTGGTTGCTCCCCGCATAGTTAGTTATGTAAGGCCAATCAGCACTGCCCGCAGCGCCCTCCGGCCCTTTGGCCCCAGCTCAAGCCCCACCAAAGTCGCGGCTGATTGGGTGTGACCCCGACGCTTGAAAATTGAGGGATGTCCCTCTGGAGAACCAGACGAAGAACTCTTTGAGATTGCAAACACAGAAAAACATCGAGGAACTTGACGGTGTTCAATCCCTCCTCCCTCATGAGAGTTAGCTCGCGCTTGGGAGATAGCCATCATGCCTAATTCGCCGTAGATGTAATAGGCACAACCCCTACCGAGTTTCATTTCTCTTCCTATCGATTCATAACACCCAGGATGACAGCAAGCACCCCCAGTCCTCAAAGAACAGGAGTCTCCCCTTCCTCATCACCTCGCCTCCCCTCCCCTCCACCGTTCACAGAAGTCCAGATAGGACCGAAAAGCCCGACTATTGGAGATGGACCAGAAAATCAGCTGGGAGAAGTGGCCAAGCACGACGATGGTTCTACCAGACGAATACGGCCAGGCACAAAAGCTGCTGATATGGATTCGGGCCCGCCTCTCATACCCCTAGCAGAAGTAATAGCGTTCTTTTCCTCGCACATGAGCTTCTATTGACATACCTGTCTAGCTCGAGTCACCTTTCCAACTTCAAGAACATTTGAAAGCCCTCTATCACACCCATACTCGAGGTCCCAACGACTCCATAACACCTATCACTCGCCAGACAGCTCTTAACTTGTCCACGCCTCCCACCGGTATCGACAAACCACTATGGCTCTACGAACTTTGCCGCTTCCTTACAATGAAAGCCAACAATCTAATCATCGCCTTCTTTGCCGACAGCCCTCCTTGCTCCGCCGCCACCTGTCCCGAAATGCGCGCCAGTGAATGGCAGTATCTCTGTGCTGTGCACGACCCGCCCAAGTCGTGCTGTGCTATCGACTACTGCTGCCACACGCTGGACTGGGCAGCTAATATATTGACAAGTCCAAAATACTTTCCAAGTCGCCTGACACTGGGAGGGGATATGGGAGGAGGTGGTGGAGGAGGAGGAGGAGGAGGCGGAGGGTCACAAGCTAGCATGCGGCATTTGACCAACATATTCAGGAGGGTGTACCGGATCTTTGCACATGCGTGGTTTCAGCATAGGGGCGTCTTCTGGCAGGTCGAGGGACATGATGGACTCTACGTATTCTTCAAGACGGTGTGTGATGTCTATCAACTGATACCCGAAGATAATTACACAATACCGAGTGAAGCGGAAGGAGGCGATGACACTATGGAGACACCTGTGGAGAAGAGGAGCCCAGAGATGGGAAGAATGAGTCTACTGAAGAAAGGCGGAGAAGATGGACAGAGAGATCTACAGGAGGGTGGTGAGAGCGAACCTACGATGACAGTGAGTGTTGGTGCTACAACTCGAAGGCACAAGCACACACCAAGCACGGGTAGTCATGTAACGACTATTGCCGAAGGTTCAGAGGAGGATGAGTTACCATCGAACGAGAGTGGTGCCAAAGCTTTGCCAGATCAGTCAGAACCTCCGCGAGGGCGGCCTATGCCGTCGAGCGAAGACACGATAGCAAATGGCCTAGGAAAACTCACTCTAGGAGATCTAAGCCCTACAACAAACAAAGATGGGCCGGCGGAGCAACCCACGCCACAGCCGCAAAGTGTAGAGAAGAATCCGTTCGAGGATGGCGAAAAGAACGAGGAAGCCATGGAAGCAGCAGACGTGGCCGCCACAGGAAGTGGAGCGAGTGTCGGAGAAGAAGGGGGTGATGATAAAAAAGAGGAAGATCCTCACACTTCGGAATATGTCGACCTACCAGAGGGTTCAAGCGTTATGCAAGGCAGTGGTGCTGAGCCTATATTTCCTGCCAAGGAGATAGATGCAGAGGAGAAGGGAGGGGAGAATGACAGGCCCGAGCAGATTGAGGGCCAAACGAAAGTATCTTGAAGCATTACCGGTTCAGGAAGGGAACGCTGGTTCAGACAGCTGGTTATGGGAGCAGAGACAAGCACAGGCAGGCCGTGCTCGGGCTTGGAGAAGCGCAATGTCATTTTCTCTGTGCGGATAGATACCCTTATGTAAATGCCAGTTGACAATCTTTGCACACGTTCGATCATGCTCAGTGGGAGAAACAACTGTACAACTTGAAGTCCAAAGCTCATGGCTGTATCCGTATTTAACTATGTAACCTGTCTCGAAGTGGGGGCCCAATTGGAGCTTGGAGCTTCTAGAAGGCTTCTATCACCTCCAGCGGCAAACAGGCGCATATATGATATGTCAGGTACAGACCAATTTCGTGTCAAGCCCCATGTCGAAGATGTTATTCCCAAAACCAATGCTTCCCTCAAGTGAAGCCCTTACTCATAGTGCACATGTGCCCTACGTTTCCACCATTTGATTCTCGACTGCTGCTGCAGCGGTTCAATCCACCATGGTGCAGTCGCCGATGATTTCAAGTCCGCTGAAGCAGACGAATGAAATAGACTGGGTTCTGCCACTGAAAGGATACATCAGAACTACGTATGGAGATGATCCAGAACGGTACAATGAAGAATGTACCACTCTCAATCGCTTGCGACAAGACATGCGGGGCGCTGGCAAGGACAGCGCATCAGGAAGAGATCTTTTGTACAGATACTATGGCCAGCTTGAACTATTGGACCTACGATTTCCGGTGGATGAGAACCATATCAAGATTTCCTTTACCTGGTAAGTGTCCATCTCAGTATCCTGCCTCAATTGCGCTGACACTCGGAAAGGTTCGATGCATTCACAGCGAAACCCACATCACAGTTTTCGTTAGCCTTTGAGAAAGCCTCCATCATTTTCAATATCTCCGCTGTTCTTTCTTGCCATGCTGCGAACCAGAATCGATCAGAGGAAAGTGGACTCAAGACGGCTTACCACTCCTTCCAAGCCTCGGCGGGCATGTTCACCTATATCAACGAGAACTTTCTGCATGCGCCATCAGTGGATCTTAGCCGAGAAACTGTCAAGACCCTCATCAGCATCACCCTGGCACAGGCGCAGGAGGTGTTTCTGGAGAAGCAAGTTGCGGACGGCAAGAAGGCCGGATTACTAGCAAAACTGGCGGCGCAGGCCCACGTTCTGTACTCGCAAGCTATAGAGGGATGTCAGGAGAACGTAGGCAAAGGCATCTTTGACCGGTCGTGGGTCTTTGTGGTGCAGACTAAAGCGGCGCACATGGCTTCTCTTTCAGAATACTATCAAGCTCTTGCAGATGAAGACAGCAACAGTTATGGAACGGCCGTTGCAAGATTACAGCTCGCAGAGAAATCCAGCAAGTCGGCGTGTAGCCTTGCTAAGTCGGTACCGTCGTCTCCATCACCCGATTCGAATCTTGGTTCGGAAACTGGGTCTATTCTGGTTCAGATAACGAAAAGGCATTTCGAAAACGTGCAAGAAAAGCTGTCCGCCTTGATTAAGGATAACGACTTCATCTACCATCAAACAGTCCCGGCAGAAGCATCTTTATCGGCTGTCTCCAAACTTCCCGCAGCAAAAGCTATCCCCGTGAGTGAATTGTATCAGGGCCAGGATATTCAGAAGATCATTGGTCCAGATATCTTCCAGCGATTGGTGCCCATGTCTGTGACAGAACAAGCGAGCATGTACGATGAAGAAAAAGCCAAGCTCATACGTTCAGAAGCAGAAAAGGTAGAGACGGCCAATGGCGAAATGGAAGCAAGCCTCGACTATCTCAAACTTCCACAAAGTCTGAATGTCCTCAAAGGTGGTAGGGACCAGGAAATTACTGTCGAGGATGAATTTAGACGCTGGTGTGAGGATCTTGCCGGCCACGAGTCCTTCTCCAAAGCGTTTGAACACCTTCAAAAGGAAAAAAGTGCGATTTTATCCAGCTTATCCCAAGATTCGAAACAGCTTGATATGGAAGAAAGTGTTTGTGAGAAGATGCGCTCTAAATATGGTGCGGATTGGACCCAACAACCCAGCTCAAGATTAACCTCGATCTTTCGAAGCGACATACGGAACTACCGAGACACCATAGACGAAGCTGGTAACACTGATTCTCAACTGTTAGCCACAGCAAGGCAATACGAGAACGATTTCGAGGAGATGCGTTCAGCTGGAGAGGCTGACGAGGCCGACATCTTGTTCCAGAGAGCTTTGATCAAGGCTGGATCTGGTAGAGGAAAGAACAGGAGTGGGAAGGGCAGTTCGTACTCGCCAAATGCCGAGGGCAATTTATTAGATGATGATTATGGTGAAGGCGGGCCGACCGTGGCAGACCAGATTGCAAGAGTGGAAGAACTCCTCAAGAAGCTCAACCTGGTCAAGCGGGAACGAGCACAATTGTTAAAGGATCTCAAGGAGAAGGTGAGTCGTGCGTTTCCGTGGCATGGATGCAGCAACTAATTTGTCCAAGGCCATGACTGACGACATATCAAATGTGCTCATTTTGAATAAAAAATCGATATTGAACCATGAAAACCAGCTGTTCCAGGCCGAACTGGAGAAATTTCGTTCCCATCAGAATCGTTTGTTATCAACAGTCCACAAACAGCAGTCTCTCCTCAAAGAGCTTACCAAGACGTATGGCGACCTGCTACAAGACAAACGAGTGCGATCTGATCAACAGAAATATGAGGCTATCACCCGAAACCGGGCTGCTGTGATGACTAGATATAGAAAGGTATTTCAAGTCTTCGAGGATCTACGGGAAGGTCTGCAACGAGCGGGAAGATTTTACAGCGAGATGAAGCAGACAGTGGACAGCATTGGTAAGAACGTGGAAGGTTTCGTCAACAACCGCAGAGCAGAGGGTGCCCAATTACTCAGCCAGATCGAGCAGAACAAAGCGAGTTCAGCCAGCACACAAGCATCCGCCGAGCGAGAAAGATTACAGCAGCTGATGGAACGGATGTCGATGAATCCCAGCACGGCTTCTTCAGGAGGGTCAGAGTCACGTCCTCCACCGGTTCCATCACAACCTTCATATCAGAACTCGAGATCTCCTCCTGTCTCACCACAGCATTCTACTGCTAATCCTGATCCGCGGTTCACAATACCACCACAAAAAACGCCTCGCTCTGCAGAATCACAGCCCTATCACCAGTCCAATCCTCCAAATGGCTACCAATATCCGCCACAACAACAGCCACCCCTTATCCATTCACCTCACCAGCAACAGCAGCAGCAGTATCAACCACCACAACATGCCTTTTCCCAAGGTGCTGCCGCCCCCCTCTCAGAAGGTTACCACCCGATGGCATACCCCTACCAAACACCAATATCCACCCAACCAGCGCCAAACCACCAATTCTTCCCACCCATATCTACCACACCTCAACCCAACCCATCTTTCTACCCTCCACACCAATCTCCTCCCCCCTCCCAGCCCTCATTTCAACCCGCACAACCACAGTACCATTTCTTGCATTCCATTCTGGGCGTCTCCTTTACGCGAACATTTCTGCTCCAGTTTCGATAGGCCCATACAGGATGTATGTCATTAGTGAGATGGTTGAGAGCAGTGTTTGGATCGGCAAAAACATCCAAATCACCTACCTGAGCGGGATCGATTTCATACACGGGTTCGATAGCGAGAGACATGGTGAACTGTGGCTTGATTGCTGTTGAGGTTAGATAGGGTAGCTCGCACTCTGCTCGCAATCGAAACATGGCAGACAGTGGGGAGCTCATAACTCCACAGGCCCTAGCAAGGCAACCCGTGCACAATGGACCATGGCTGAGGAAGCACAGACCAGATCTCAAGACAACGACATCGTCCTTTGACGAAACGACTTGTCACAACAAAAGAAATGTAGAATAAGGTGGAAATAGTAACAAAGGTATTGCCCGAAATAGCCAGACACAAAAAGGTTCTCTCCTACTCTCTCTCACTCGGGCCCCAAGTATTATGATATGAAAATCCTAATTCATAAATCCATCGTGGCTCATAACCCATAACCCATAACCCATAATCCATATCCTCCATTCATGCATTCATAACTACCTCCATACCCCCCCCTTTCCCTT